AACGTCAACGGTTTTGCCTGCAGGGGGCAAAAACTGCAAAAATAGCCGATTTTTTCTAAAACAGTTTTTCTGCAATAACTTTTGACCCAAGCCTTGTACGAGCTTACTTTTACCGTCATCGTGTTCCTCTCGTCAAGACGCATCGAATGAACTATAACTTGACCTTGAAAGGTCAACTTGAAAATTTGACCTCAGGTCAAGGTCATGACCTGACCGGAAAGGGTCATGTTGCATATCAGTCGATCCGTATCGTCGAGCTGAACACATCTAAGGCGTTTTCATCGCTCTAGCATGCCTCTATCAAAAGTTATTTGCGAAAAACTGTTAGATACCATTCGTGACCTAAGATGACCTCAGGGCATAAACAAGGGTCACGGACACCATTTTCAAGTTCAGTTGTCTAAACCACTTGTAATTCGGTGTTTGGGATTGTTTATAATGTCTTTCATCCAAAAGAGGCGCATTTCAATTTTCTCCCATTGACTTATAATGGGGAGGTCGCAAAATTGACCTGACCTTAGGTCATCGATATCAAAATTCTGAGATATACATTTTGTACATGCTATTGCTCTTAGCAATCGCTGAAAGTTTCAAAGCGATCGGTCACTCGGTGTAGCTATGACAGACATTGAAAGTTTTTATGAGGTGAGGTCACTTCAAGTGACCTGGTGACCTGACCTTGAATGACCTTGGTCTGAAATTTTAACAACATGTGTAGAATTGATGTATGATAAGGTGTACCAAAAACGGCGGCGCTCCGCGCCGCCGTTTTTGAGATATTCGCGAAAAACCACAAGGGGGGGGGTGTTCAAACACCCCCCCCCCCAGCAGGGCGCGGGTTAACAATACAAGCGAGATATGACCAACAAGACTTTTGATTAATTCAATTACAATTACAAATAAAGGATTAACATCTGGAATGTTATGCAGAAATCAGTCAGTCGCTCCTGTAAACGCTGTCCAGCGACAACTCTACTTTTCGCCGATAGATGTCAGCACCAGTCGCGCCTGTCTGGGTAGTCTGTTCCGCGGTACTCCTGGCCTTTCCGGTGCAGTATCAACGGACGACAGGCCGACAGGGCCTCGCGGGAGTTCTATTATAGCCTTGGGCTCGCGACAAGACGGCCAAATGGACTGTGTTATCGCTATACATTCATTTGATGAGTTTGATGGGATCGCGGGTGAGCGGGGAAAGCAGTGAGCGGCACGGGGTCTTCTCAGTGCTTACTGCTCACCAGTCAGCGGTTCCAGGCCCAGAGCTCCTAAGGTTGTATTCAGAATCCGCTCGTCTCGCACCTGACTTCAGGCAGACACGCCAAAGGAGAACTATGAGGTGCTCCACTGTTATAAGTGCTTTCGAAACATTGTTTGCTCATACGCTTTGATGACCCTACAGAAAACGACAGTGATAGCGTCAATGGGATAAGGAGCAGCGTGAAACAGGTTGTTTTGAATGTGTTTCGGCCTTATAAACTGTCATATAAGTGCCTCAATCATGCTGACCCCTTTGATCCGGCGCCCCGGTGCCTTATGAGACGGTAATTAACGAAACTGGGTCACGAGGACTATCGACTGCTATCGGCTTACCCCAGTGGGGGGATGGGGGAGGGGGCTGATCGCAGGCAGGAGCTAGACGATAACGACGGCTATCAGAAGCGTGCAGACACTTAGCACTTAGCAGTAAGAACAAGTGATTGATCGCGCAGTGGCAGAGAGTCGCTAGCCAGAAGTAAGGAGGCATGAAGTTGACAGGATCCATAAGATATTCGTAATAAGCCTATACCAATTAAGATTGCCAATCCGGAATTACCATAGCACTTATGGGGGGCCGGACGGACCCCCCCCCCCGATTTTCGCGAATAAGCCGCGCAAAAAGTGGTTGATCGCAACATATTTTTTTTTGTTACTTCGAGATGATTATTTTTACACCTACGCTGAAATTTCATGACCCTGACCTAAATGACCTTTGTTTTGTGACCTGTTTCTCGAGAACATGTTTGGTCGGAATCGCGATTTGGCATAGGTATGTCAGCTCACATTATCCGCGCGTCACTAGCCTTTTTGTAAATGTAAACGTTGAAGCCTTTGAAATGATGTTTGAACATGTATTATGGCGGATGTCAAGGTCACGTGAAGGTCAGGTCAATGCCCTTGGACCTTGGTCTGATTTTTCGAGTCTTACATGCTTACAGCGTTCTTAACCCGCGCCCGGCTGGTGGTCCTGGATTTCCACGCCCTGCTGGGGGGGGGGTGTTTGAACACCCCCTTGTAACTCGGCTCCTGGGCCACGTAGCGATACGCGGAAGGCGGCGTTCGAAAGAGCGTCAAAAATAATGACGAAATCACTTCGGTCAATTTTTTGGTCAGGTCAAAGATCAGGTCGCCAGAGGTCATTGAAGGCAAAATTTCGCCGATTTCCAGGTCGAATGTCGAAAGTTTCCAAGAACCCAACGCATAACTCGGGAACCAATAGAGCTACAGCGCCGCGGAAAAGCGCATTCGATAGCCCTATTAACGCCCTTTCTGAATAATCCTCTCAAATTTGACCTAACGTCAACCGTTTTGCCTGCAGGGGGCAAAAACTGCAAAAATAGCCGATTTTTTTTCGGAAACAGTTTTTCTGCAATAACTTTTGACCCAAGCCTTGTTCGAGCTTACTTTTACCGGCATCGTGTTTCTCTCGTCAAGACGCATCGAATGAACTATAACTTGACCTTGAAAGGTCAACTTGAAAATTTGACCTCAGGTCAAGGTCATTACCTGACCGGAAAGGGTCATGTTGCATATCAGTCGATCCGTATCGTCGAGCTGAACACATCTAAGGCGTTTTCATCGCTCTAGCATGCCTCTATCACAAGTTATTTGCGAAAAACTGTTAGATACCATTCGTGACCTAAGATGACCTCAGGGCATAAAAAAGGGTCACGGACACCATTTTCATGTTCTGTGTGTCTAAACCACTTGTAATTCGGTGTTTGGAAGTGTTTATAATGTCTTTCGTCCAAAAGAGGCGCATTTCAATTTTCTCCCATTGACTTATAATGGGGAGGTCGCAAAATTGACCTGACCTTAGGTCATCGATATCAAAATTCTGAGATATACATTTTGTACATGCTATTGCTCTTAGCAATCGCTGAAAGTTTCAAAGCAATCGGTCACTCGGTGTAGCTATGACAGACATTGAAACTTTTTATGAGGTGAGGTCACTTCAAGTGACCTGGTGACCTGACCTTGAATGACCTTGGTCCGAAATTTTCACAACATGTGTAGAATTGATGTATGATAAGGTGTACCAAAAACGGCGGCGCTCCGCGCCGCCGTTTTTGAGATATTCGCGAAAAACCACAAGGGGGTGTTCAAACACCCCCCCTCCAGCAGGGCGCGGGTTAAAATGAGTTCGAGTTAAGCACCCATTTGAACATGCCTAAAACAAAAAGAGACGATCTTAGCAAACCAGAGCTGCAGTCCATTGGTGGTTAGTATGAATCATATTTTCGCTCAAAGCCAACATCACACGCAATGTATGATTTGGTAGCTATGAGTTTCCTTCCTGGCGGCTGGCAGAAGACAAGGCAGAACGAAGCTATCAAAGGCGGTTGGTGGGACAACCAATAGTGTCTGGTACAACCGTGAGGTGGCTCTGTCGTTCTGCAACGGAGGGTGGGCGAAGCAGCTCAGAAATGACTATGAGCCTGCCGAGTGCCATGGGAATGGGAACGGACCAATATACGCTGCGCAGCGGTTGTTTCTCATCTTCTTCCACCACGGTGTCGAAACGATTTACGATTAGGTACGAATGTCTTTTCGTTCAATGCAGAGGTGAGATGGAAGTCTCCATGACCTCGCAATGTGCCCTTGAGTTCGAGTGATGTCATCAAAAAGTTCAACTACCCGCACCTATAGGTCGCGCAATCCCATCACTTCGTATATAATAGTTTCTATCAGTTTTGTAGTCCACATATAAATTTGTAATTACTCTGATCACAAATATTGTTTGAGGTTTCGGGTGAGTAGCAAAAAGCTACCTACAAATATTGGATGTTCCCATTTGGCAGGTTCTATCAAAGATGATGCTGGTTCTATGATACACGTTTACGCATATGATTTTACAGATTCCAGTTTCAATGAACAGGGGACGCGTTGAAAAATACATATTTGGCTGTAGGACTGTAGGTATTTTGGATATAGGTAGTTAAATACCAGCAATACCTAAATTACAGTTTAGAGGTGTCACCTGATTTCGATGTCACTTTTGACAGGCGACCGCCCTCCATCACAGATGTCAAGGTCGGGGTCACTAGGTGACAGAATGACAGGGCCAGATAAAAAGGTCAGGAACCGTCACTGAGGAGAGTCAATCATGAGATTCAAGAGCAAAGCCCGGGCTAGAAGCTTGTGTCCCGTCTTGTGCAAAATCATTTACTCGACATAATTAATTATATGTTGCAGGGTAAGGAGATATCCTTGAACGATCTAGTGGGCCAATGCTAATGAATCTGAGTAATTTTGTTGAAATGACCGTGAATTGTGATTGACATCATTATGCATCGACGTCACAAAGGCTCACATGGAGCGTAAACACGCTAAATTACATTCTTTTAACGAGAGTTAAAGGGTAATGTAATCAGGACGAGGGATTGTTAATGTGATGCCCATTGTCTACATAGGTGTAATGAAAATCAGCAGCATAGAAACAAGATCTAGATGTCTGCTCATCTCATTCCTCGTGGTGTAACATTTGTCCTGCGCCAGGCGCACTGCCGTCGTCTACGACACCCTCCCCCTCTACTCCCCTCCCCCTCCGCCACGCCCACCGCAGAGGGCGGGGAGGGGCGGGGGTCCACGCACCGCTGGCATCCGTCGGGGTCAGCGGGACTCCCAGGGTCGCTGGCTGTCGGCGCGTCGGCTACCGACGCCAACATAAGACGCCGCCGAGTTGCGCGTCGGTGGCCGATTGATCGTCGACGCCGCTCGGGTCGGCAGTGGTTGCCGTCGGCGCGGCCGGGCGCGCACCGGACCGCCGACGGCAGGGCATGTCCGGTGAGCTGTACAGTGCACGCGAGACGAGCAGCGTCGGCGACGCGGCGGGCAGTCGCGCCAGCCCGCGGCCGCGTCGTGCGCCGCCGCCCTACCAGCAGCCGGCACCCATGGACGCGGCCGAGAGGAGTGAGCGCGGCACGCCGCGCCGGTCGCGGCCGGCCTCCCGCGGCGCCGGCGGCCGCGACACCCGCGGCCTGGACTCGGTGGATGGCGAGTACGCGCCCGTGCGCGACCCTGGTCCGTCCGAGCCGTCGGCACGTCTGGACCGACCGCTGATGGAGGACGGGCCATACGGGCCCCCGCCGCCGCCGGCCGGCCTGCCGCTACACCCCAGTCCCGGGGCTCCGCACCACTCGCCAGACTTCACCATGAAGCACGGCCTGACGCGAGACACCTACATCCTCGAGCTGCAGGCGCAGAACGGTGACTTCCAGCGCGAGCTGAGCAACCTCAAACGCGAGCTGGAGCTCACGGGACAGAAGCTGGGCTCCAGCATGCACAGCATCAAGACGTTCTGGTCTCCTGAGCTGAAAAAGGAGCGTCAGATGCGCAAGGAGGAGTCGGCCAAGTACGCCATGATGGGGGAGCAGATCCAGCTACTCAACACTGAAACTCAGGTGAGTCCGGCGGCCGCCCTGCTAAGGGAACGAGGCCGAGGGTTAGATTCGGGAGTATATTGTCCGACATCTTCACAATTTTGTCGTCATTGGAAACCAGATACATGGGTAATGACCAGGGTAATGACAGTCAGATCATGTGGGCATAACTGCTTTCGGTCTTAGTATTTTTGTGTTGTTTCACGCCGTGTAGGTAGCCAACCTTATAAGTTCCGCTCGCTCTCCTCTGCTTTTCTTCATGAGAATTCTCCATTTATTTATGCAAAATGACTTTTTTGAATGTGAAGATTATTTCGCTATTTCTGGAAAATCTCCCGTATTAGAAGCACTCACTTCAGCATCCAATTTTCGTTATCAAGCACTCCAACGCCTTCTGCTGTATTCATAAATGAATAGGTAAATACGTGCTGTTATGATTCAAACATTAAAAAAGCCAAAATTCATTTATCTCATGTCTTATATTGCCTTTACTTGCAAATAACTACTCATATGCTAGATTCTACATGATTCTATTCAAAGTTCCGAATCCACCTCCCAAAATTCTCCTTTTTCACTTGCTTCGACAAAAATACACAAATCACGAGAATGCAAATCCTCGCGCTTATTCCGGCAGGGAGCTGTCGTTCGCAACGACATCCTCCCCCTCCCAAGGGCTGACGACACGAGGAACGAGGTGGCAGCTCCCTCAGACAGTGTCCTCCTCCAGCACACAGATCCGTCGCACCGGGCGGTGCACTTCACCGCCGTGAACCCGCACGCGGGCAGAGCGCACACGACCGTCCGGACCTGGCATCACCTCCACCACGCGACCGAGTGGCCACCGACCGCGTGGCATGTTCTCCTCCACCAGTAGGACCAGGTCTCCACGGGCCAGATTTCTTGTCTCACGAGTCCACTTCTGGCGGCAGATCAGACTGGGTACATACTCTCTCAACCAGCGGGCCCAGAACTGATCCGCCAGCGCCTGTGTCTGACGCCAGAGCCGCCGGCTGGACGTGTCTCTGTCGCTGAAGACACCCGGTGGAAGACAGACGGTCCGGTATCCCAGCAGCAGGTGGTTGGGTGTGAGCGCCTCCAGGCCATCATCCTCAGAGGACACGTAGGTCAGCGGTCGGCTGTTCACCACGGCTTCAGCCTCCGTGATGACAGTGTGTAGGACTTCGTCAGTGACAATCAGCTTTCCGAGAACGGTGCGGAGTGCCCTCTTCACCGTTCCTATCATCCTCTCCCAGATGCCGCCCATGTCCGCTGCCCCCGGCGGATTGAAGCGCCAGATGATGTCAGCCTGAGACAGTTGGTCGCTGATGTCTTGTTGGTTCCACTCGTGGATCAGCCGGCGGAGCTCTCTCTCGCCAGCTCGCAGATTCGTGCCGTTGTCGCTGTAGATCACTTCAGGCTTGCCTCTCCTCGCGATGAACCTCCGAAGTGCCATGAGGAAGCTGTCCGTAGATAGAGACTCTGCTACTTCGAGATGGACGGCTCGGGTAGTTAGACATGTTATCAGCAGACAGTATCTCTTCTGCTGCATGCTGCGCCGACTCGACCTGGTGACCACTGACCAGAGGCCCGAAGAAGTCAATCCCAACTGAGCTGAAACTGCGACGGGTGTCAAATCTCGAGTCCGGGAGATCGGCCATGAGCGGCTGGCATGGCTTGGCCCGTCGACGGCGACAGACTACGCAGGCGCGCACGACCTTCTTCACTGTTTGTCTTGCTCTCGGGATCCAGTATTGCTGACGGAGCTCGTTCAGGACGTGATCTGTCCCGGCGTGCATCAGCCGCTCTTGAGTGGCTGCGATCAGCAGTGACGTCACACCGGCTTCTCTTGGTAAGATGAGTGGATGGCACGCCGTCTCTGATAGCGGAGCACGGTCCAGGCGGCCTCCGACACGTAGCAGGCCATCTTGACCCAGCTGCGGAGACAGAGGCAGTAGGCTACTGCTGCTGTCTATGGGAGCTCCTCTTCTCAGCGCAGCCAACTCCCGACCAAATTCCTTGCGTTGCAGCAGGCGAATGATAGCGGCATCTGCTTCTCGGAGCTCAGGTGTCGACAGGGGGCCGGAGCCGCGCCTACCAGTCGTGCGTGCGGCCGCCAGATTCTTGCAGAATCGGAGCATCCAACCCACCGTGCGCCGGTACCGGTTCCAACTAGAGAAGCGGCTGGGGTCCGGTAACACTTCAGACGTTGTCTCGCTCCCATAACTCACGCTCAGAACCGTCTTCACCTCAGGATCTTCTTCTGCGACTGACCGTGGTAGAGGATCCTCCGGCCACATCTTCTCAGGCTGCCATAGGAAGTCAGGCCCACGGATCCAGCGGCAGTCTTCAGTCATCTCGGATGCCACCAGTCCACGAGTGCAGTCATCGGCTGGGTTTTCTTCTCCGGGTACGAATCGCCACTGGGACGGTTCGGAAACACTCCGGATCTCTGCGACACGATTCGCAATAAATGTGTGGAATCGCCGGCTGGTGTTGAAAATGTAGCCAAGCACGACTCGGCTATCGCTCCAGTAAATTGTCTCGTGGATGTCCAGTGTGAGCTCTTGTCTCACACAGCAGGCCAGTCGTACAGCCATGACAGCCGCCTGTGTCTCCAGTCTCACAATGGAGAGTTTCTTCAGGGGGGCGACCCGGCATCTGCTCATAACCAAGGAGCAGTGCACCAGTCCATCTGGGTACACTGTTCGAAGGAATGCTACCGCACCAAATGCCCTTTCCGAGGCATCACCGAACACGTGGAGCTGTGTCTGACGTGGCCTTTCTTCTAGTCTTCCGTACCATCTTGGCACCGTGACCGCTGAGACTCGTGACAGTTCGGTGAGCCATGCAGTCCATCGTCGATATTCATCTGCGTCGAGCTGCTCGTCCCAGTCACGCTGAACAGACCAGAGGTCTTGAAGGAGCAGCTTCGCCAGCAGCGTGAATGGAGAGAGCAGGCCAATGGGATCATAGATCGAAGCCACCACACGTAAAACTGAGCGTTTTGTCTCTGCATCTTCAGTAACTATTGGCGGCTGGCTTACAGACAGCTTGTCTCGCTCTGCGTCCCACATGACGCCCAGCACCTTCTCCATCGGCAGCGGCCCTCGCAAGTCAGTCGCACTTGACACCCGGTCGTCCGTCGGGATCCCGGCCAGCACCTCTCTGCTGTTACTCAGCCACTTCCGGAGGCAGAATCCGCCTTTAGAGACCAGCGCTGATACTTCAGAAACCATTGCCTTCGCTGCCCAGATGTCCTTCTCTGACGTCGCCAGATCATCCATGTAGAAGTTGTCCCGGACGGTGGCCGCTGCGGCTAGGCCTGCCGCTGATTCAGAACACTTCTCCTCTGCTGTCTTGTTCAGCACATAGCTGGCTGAGGCTGGAGACGAGCGCGCACCAAAAATCACCCGATCCATCTGATAAATGTCTGGGGGGTCGGTGCACCTCCAGACCTCGCCAGAGGAACCTCAGCGCCGGCTGGTCCTCTGCCCTCACTGCCACTTGTAGGAACATCTTCTCGATATCTGCATTCAAGGCCACTGGTTCCTGTCGGAATCTCATGAGTACCCCTGGGATGGTTAGCAGGTAGTCTGGCCCTGTGAGCAGGTTTTCGTTCAGAGAGGTGCCACCGTACTTAGCCGCGGCATCGAAGACGACTCTGATCTTCCCTGGTTTGTTCTGGCTCGTGACGGCATGGTGAGGGAGATGCCAGCATCGATCGTGAGACTGACGCCGCTCCTCTTCAGACAGTTTCCGCGCGTAGCCCTTTTCTATGTACTCCTGCATGACCTTCTGATAGGCGTCAGCCTTTTCTGGCGCTCTCTTCAGTCCTCTCTCTGTGTTCTCTAGCCGACGCAGTGCCATTCCATAGTTATCTGGCAAGATGATACCGTCAGAGCGCCACAGCAGCCCGGTCTCATAACGGTCACCTCTCCATCGGGTCGTTCCTTCCAGTATCCGTTCAGCCTCCAGATCATCGGCCGAACGGGGAGCCTTGAAGTCAAATCTAGTCCCGTATGCTTCAGTTGACCACCAGTCTTCCATCATCTCTGACAGCGAGTCCCGATCTGAACGCTCGGTCCGAATGTGGAGAACCTCTCGAGCACCGACCGGTAGCAGCTGCTGCACATTTCCCGTCAAACACCAGCCAAGGTGCGTTCTTATGGCCGTCGGCTGGCCTGGAGGGCCGACACGCACCTCCTTCTGCAGCATGGCCTCCAACACATTCGCACCGAGCAACAGCTCCACGGGCCGGCCATTTGTGTCCGGGATCGAGATCCCTGCCAGATGCTTCCAGTTGTGTTTTTCCCTCCAGTCGATCCTCTGCGGACGCAAGTTGAGTTTCTTGACGGAAAAAACTTCTGGCACCGTCAGGCGCTCTTCTCCGTCAGCCGCAGCAACTGGTGAAACCGTGAGTGTGGTCCGAACAGACATCCGTTTCTCGCCAGTTTCTTCCACATTGTTGAGACGCAGCTCTTCTGGCTCACCGGTAATCCCCAATCGCCGCAGCACGTCTTCTGTGCAGAGAGAGGTGTCGGCGCCGGAGTCCAAGAGAGCGCATGTGTCAACATACGCGCCATCATCTCCATGCACCCGTACCGGCACGACCTGAAGCAGTGTTGACACGCGGCTGCTCACAGGCGCTGAATTGGTAGCGAGCACCCTGCGCGGGTCTTCCACGTCCACTTCTTCCAGCTCGCTCACCGCCGATGCCGGTGAATGGAGCAGACTGTGATGCCGCCCGCGGCAGCCATCCTTCCCGCACAGCGACTTCTTGCGACATTGGTGAGCCCAGTGACCCTCGCCGAGGCATCTGAAACAGCGCTTGCTGGCACGAACCACCTGAAATCTCTCGTCCGCCGTCATGGCTCGAAACTGTTCACACTCGTCCAGTCGATGTGCCCCTCTCTGGCAGATTACGCACACTGCTGCAGGTGTGGCTGCGTCCTGAGTAGCCAGCGTAGTTCGCTGAAGCCCACCGCTGCTCACTGCCGGGGGGCGTCGAGTCGTCCGTGCTGATCCTCCCGTCTCCCTTCCTTGACTGGGTCTCCGGTAGTAGCGCGCGGCGCTCAGCTCTGGGAGGGCGCGCCGACCCGCGAGCACTACTCCTCGCAACCACTCATCCAGATCTGACAGGGTCGACACGCTGTGACCAAGTTCCAGTTCTGCTTGTCCCCACTGCCACGCCAGATTCATTGGCAGTTTTGCTACCACTTGGCGCAGGTTGGTCGTGGCCGCGAGATCAGCGTCGAAGCGGTAGGTGGTCAGGGTGCAAACAGCCGCGTGAAGCGAACGGGAGAGCTGAGTGAGCCCCGCAAGGTCATTGGGTCTCACGGGAGGGGATTGCAGTACACTCCCCAGAGTCTGCTGCACTACCGCTGCTGGGTCTCCAAATTGTTGTTCCAGCTCTCGGAGCGCCTCTTCATAGAGTGCACCATCGCACAGCAGCCCCCTCACTGCCTCTCTTGCCTCTCCAGTGAGGCAAGATTGCAAGTGCGTTAGACGCTCCGTATCGGTCAGAGTACCGTTGTCGTGTACCAGTGCCTTAAAAAGACCACTCCATCTAGGCCAGTCTAGCGGAGAGCCGTCAAATTTCTCCAGAGATATCCTAGGCCCTAGGGAGTGCTGCTGTTGTTTCTCGGTGTTCGACCCGTCCGCCGGGAAGGGCCGTTATCCAGCTCCGGGTGCGATTCTGTGGGTCTTCGGAGACTCGTCGGAGCCTCGCAGCAGGCTCCCTGCGCGGCGAGTCACCGCCGGCAGGTTCCCGCTTCTCCACAGCTGGAGCCACAAGACCGCTCCCGGTGCCATTGCCGTCCCGGAAGTCCTCCACATCCTCTCTTGTCCCTTGAGAAATTGCATCGTCATCCTCCACGAGCTGCAACTCTATGGCATCCACCTCAGCTGCGTCAGCAGCTTGACGTGCATTTGCTCGTGCTTGCTCTAATGTTGACTGGATTTGGGCTTCTTCCGCAGCGGCTGCTGCTGCCGCCGCTGCTGCCGCTGCTGCCGACGCGGCCTGTCGGGCCGCAGCAGCCCGCTCCACATCTTCCAGAGCCCGTTGGGCTTGAGCGGCCTTCACTTGTGAAACCTGTGCTCTTCTACGCACAGAACTCTGAGTCGATGTGCCCGACCCTGCTACACTTCTCGTTTTCAAACTGGTTTGTGATTTGGACGACATGTTACGTTACGTTAGTGATAATCAAGTTTACTTTACTGGCCTAATCCGGCCCGGAGGACCAAAATGTTATGATTCAAACATTAAAAAAGCCAAAATTCATTTATCTCATGTCTTATATTGCCTTTACTTGCAAATAACTACTCATATGCTAGATTCTACATGATTCTATTCAAAGTTCCGAATCCACCTCCCAAAATTCTCCTTTTTCACTTGCTTCGACAAAAATACACAAATCACGAGAATGCAAATCCTCGCGCTTATTCCGGCAGGGAGCTGTCGTTCGCAACGACACGTGCCTACATAGTACATACCTATGCCTAGTTACGGAGCGAGCGAAGCGAGCGTAGTCTTTCCTTAGATTAACGGAAATTTCTGAGTATGAGCGGCCGGCCGGCCGGCCGGCCGGCCGTGGTCACGCTTTTGCGAGGCTTATATCTCAGCAACCACTTGACCGATTTACATGCGGTAATTTTTGTAGGGTAGCTTCATTCCTTCTACCAAGTATTGCACTATTCCCGATGCATGTGGGTGACCCCTTATGCACGTGCCACGTGCAAAACCAAGAGGTGTCACTTTTGTAATTGTTGCAATATCTCGGTAACTACTGGGCCGATTGCGCTGAGAGTTGGCATGTAGGTAGGCACCCACTAGGCACTGCATATCCATGTGCCAGAGTTGGGGTGCTGCTGCACGTGCGCACGTGCAGGGGTCGTTTCCAGATCTCGGGAACGGCTCGACCGATTGCGCTCAAATTTGGTACACAGTTAGGGACCGGTTAGTAGGGTGCCGTGCACAAGTCAGTTGGGACCCATTTTGCACGTGCGCACGTGCAGGGTGCCGCTTCCAGATCTCGAGAACGGCTGGGCCGATTGTGCCCAAATTTGGCACATCGCTAGAGACCGGTTAGTAGGGTGCCGTGCACAAGTCAGTTGGAGGTACTCCCTCGCAATTTCGCACGTGCAAGGCCCACCCTCTCGCTCGCTCCGTTAGTCGCCCCAAAAGGCGTTATACTGGTGATATCAGCAAATGCCAATGGGACATTGTTTGCAAATAGCATTACATTCTTCTCTCCCAACATTTTTCAACCGCAGCATTGTTCACTATAACTGCACTTCATTAAACGAATTATGCGTACAAACAAGCATTGAAAGAGGCTGAAATCCACGGTAGGTAAAGCGCACTCATCAGGAAGGTAATTTCGTTCAGACATATAATTATCTCGTGAGGATGTGTGATGCGCCAGTAAATACCATCAAGTTCATAAGTTCCATGTTTTTATGCTCAATGTAGTCCCTGTTTCACGGACGTATAAATAAACGTCCGTGAAAATGGGCACGGACGTTTATTTATACGTCTGTGCCCTGTTTACAGTTAATAACCCGTTGCCTTTTTCTTCCAAATTGACTGTCTTATTAAATGAGCAAAAAATCAACTCGGCTATCTAATCGTCCACTTATTTGCCTAAATTATCCAAGGGAAATATCCGAACAAACACGTTGAAAAGTTTACAAGCAGTGAGACACATCATGACCTCTGACCAATGATAAGCGACTGGTTTAAGCCCCTCCGCTGCGAATCCGAAGTTGTTTCATCCATACATTTGGGAAGTAAGTAGTACAGGTAAAGCAAAAATAGATCCCACTGAAGTTGTGAATAACGCTGTACCATAGAGACTCTCACCGCATCAGTGCTGTACCCACCTATCTTGCTGGGTCGTAGTTTCTGCTAGCGTAGTTACAAGCGATGGCAATGTTTTTATATGGCCTGCTTGTATTCTCTTGTCAGAACAACACGATCCGCGTGAGATTGGACCGAGTGTTTGTGTTGGCGCCATGTCAGGGTGTCATTATTATCCATTCATGGCCGTGGTTCCGGCGGGAGACAGGCGTGATGAGTTCCCCACGCCATGTCACGCGCCGCTGTTGGCGGTACACCGTGCTACCGCCTCTGCCTGCAGAGGGGGGGGGGGGGCTGGAATGAGACATGACGATGGACTGGAAAATTACTGACGGTAAACGCTCATCATATTGTAGTTATTAACACTATGTACATATTTTCTAAAAAGACACATTTCTGTTTCAATATTATCTATTGTATTAGTATATGGGCTCTCTCTCTCTCTCTCTTCCCTCCCTCCCTCTCCCTTCCCTGTCCCATGCACCAGCCCCTCAGACGGACATCTGGAGCTCGCTGCTCGTGTAGACTGTCCGTAGGCGTGGTGCTGCACCGCTGCCCTGCAGACGTTCTCCCCCCCCCCACCCACCCCTCCCCTCCCCCTCTCCCCTCCTTACCCCCTCTGTGAGGCGCAGCAGACGCCGGCCCGCCGACAACCAGCGGCGGCCACACCACACCACTCATATCCCAGTCAGATCCGGCCGCTGCAATGATAGCTAGCCGCAGGAAATTGGACGGAAATGATATAGAGGATTGTAGTGCCTTTATGAGGATCTTTTTGCTCTTCCGAGTAGCATTTTATTTTATTCTTTTTCATTTACCAGCTCTCATTTTGTAAATTATATTTCCATTGTCCATATTACCTGTCATAAGCGGACAGTGAGCACAACTCATGACTCATCAGTTGTGCTTACAGTGTCCGCTTCATTAGTCCATTTCTATTTTCTATCACATGTTGTTAATGAAGTGGGGTGCAATGGTAGAGAACAACGTTTAAAGTTTATTTCGAAATGCAATGCCAAGTCAATGCCATTAGAATCAACACAAGGGAGCTGCGCTGAACCATGAGCTTGAACGCCGTTAAACAGAGCTCCTCTGCATGGACACACAACAGACACAGAAACCAGACGACTCGAATAATTATGAGCTGCGACTGTCTTCCACCGTTGCCTCCGCCTCTCTGCCCTTCCCACCGCCACGCCGCCATCGCAGCTCAGCAGCTCGGAGCCTCAGCAGTGTGTTTAACGCTGGTGACGTCACCACAGCGGCTCGCCCGCCCGGTTCAGAGGCCAACCTGCGGGCACTCTGCCAGCGGAACGGCCGCCAATGACGTCACAAGGGGCACAGGCGGGCTGACACTGAACGACCGCGGGCAGGGCTGTCCCAAATCCAGGGCGACACATCGCTATTTTTTGTGGACAACTGCGACCGTTTCCGCTTATATGACATATTATTGTATCTTAAATCTCGACGTCCCTCGTCAGGAATTGGTCTGGGAGCGCATTTTATGTGTAGCTCTGTATTTTTGACTGGGGATGCGGATGCCTCGGGGACAGACTGCGGAGGTGGCTCCGATGCGCACTCCGCAGCTTTGGGCTTGAAAATGGGAGACGAACCATGCCGTTCAGTGCTTCTTCTTCTTCTCAGCGCAGTCGCAGGCCGCGCCCTGGGCGCTCTGGGCGCGGCTCGCGACCGTTCAGTGCCCTCTCTCCCTCCCTCCTCTCTCTCTCTCTCTCTCTCTCTCTCTCTCTCTCTCTCTCTCTCTCTCTCTCTCTCTCTCTCTCTCTCTCTCTCTCTTTCTCTCTCTCACTCACTCACTCACTCACTTTCTCACTCACTCACTCACTCACTCACTCAACTCATGCGAGAGGAACAGGAAATAAATGCAAATGCTGCGATAACACCGCAGTTCATTGTTTTACCACGCGAGCAGTGTGCACCTGTCGCCCAGTGATACTGCACCGGATAGCCCAGAAGCGCTGCGGAACAGACTACCCAGACAGGCGCGACTGGTGCTGACATCTACCGGCAAAAAGTAGAACTGTGGTCGGACAGCATTACTGAGAGTTACGCGTTTAGCGAGGAAGCTGAGGACTGTGTGAATGACGTACACGACTGCGTTACGTTTTCAGAAGCAGGCCGGGCTGATAAGACAGCTGGAGGAGGAGCTGCGCTCGCGCGGCGGAGGGGGCGGTAAGAACCCGGCCGTGGTGGAGCTACAGCAGCAGCTGGATCAGTTCTATGTCGAGAACGACCACCTCACCCGAGAAAACACAATGCTCAAGGAGACGGTCAAGGTGCGTACCGGGGCATCGAGTGACCGGTGTCTGGGAATATTATTATTTTCATTATTTTTTTAATGATATGATTCTGTGTGTTAATGATTGATTTTTTAATGATACGAAATAATGATAAGTATTCTTTACTGAGCGAACCGAATATAAAAGAATATAAAAGAACAAATCTCCATATAAAGGAACAAATTGTCCCACGTTAGCTCGCTCTCGGTGGGCTCGTTCTGAACATATGCATTATTCATATCGCAATATATTTTTCTTTTCCGCATCACAGCCTTGATGGGGCCAGTCCAGTGGCCATTTGTTTTTGAAAGGCCGCTTTAGTGGTGTGCTTTAGTTCCGAGTGTGCCAGTTGGACAGCAAAAACACCACCTGGGAGCCGCTGGTGCCAGGCGAAAGGTGCGTGTTGTGGACTGTATGTGATCGACACGCAACGCTGAGAACTGAGGAGCGTCGCTGAGCCGTCGGACGCGCTGCTCCCCCCCCCCCCGCCCTGTTGTACTGGACGGGTAGATACGGAGACTTTGAGGCTAATCACGCGATACCTGTCATTTTGGCAGTCGTGATTCTGTAGTTGGACCTCGGTGAAATATATAAGCTGTCGATGAAGGCACCGAAGGATAGTTTTTCTGCTCTCACATTCAGGGCTGGTAAAAATGGTTTTGGTGGCTCTGACCAAATTTTCGGCCATGAAAAGTGGCTCCTAACACTCGTAACAGAAAAGGCTTGAAAGTGCAGTGAACAACGTCCTTTTTCAGGAACACCTTAAACATCATCAGTAACTATTTTAGTTTTACTTATAACTCACTGATGTATCCTGATTTTGGGACATTGGCTGGTGTCGAACACAGCAAAAGAATGTAGGAATATAATTTCTTCTACTTTTGTTTAAGCTGGTTGGTGACAGAAATGTAAGGCATATGCATGTAAGGCAATGAATGTTGTTTGACAAAAAATATAATACTGACTCACCAACAGAGGAAATTTCATCATCTCGCCCACCAGCATAGATCTTCCGCAGACTGGTCAGTGGTCATTGTCTGCGTCATCTGAGATACACATGATTGATGATGTCCTAAGCTGAGAACTGAAACACAAAGGCAATATAACTCTAATATTAATTTTAGTTACAAAATGCCTGAAATATAAATCAGGATTGCTTAAATAAGCATATTTTGAGTATGACGTACCAAAGAAAATGAAAAACATGCAGAAGAGGAACATATCTTGATATTCAAAATTTAATTTAATTTAGTAACAAATATGCTAAGTGCTAACCATACTGGGTTGGTTGGCAAATAAATGCGAGTATCGTTAGCCACTTGAGTTAGGTATCCGTATGCACCTTCAAAATAAAAACAAGTGCCATGTCTAGCTCCACAGCTTAAAATATTGAGGTAGGTGGTCTATGATATTGCTATGAGATGTACTATACAGAAGAGGGGCAACTTCAAATCCAACCGAACAACAACCAACATACCATGAAATGTACACAGTTTGCCTGTGCCGCAACCCTGCACGAGACTTGACATTTGAATATCATTATTTGTGTTCTAAACTAGTCGGTAATACAGTGAACCACCAATGGTAGAAGGCTCCGTAGCTCCCCGTTCCCTCAACACTAGGTCCTCATCAACTGATAAAAGTTACGGAGCCCTATTCTCCGTAGTGTTAAAGCTGGAAATCGACTGATGGCTCTTCGACTGATGAATGCTGACGCTGTTCGCGGTAAACATTTACAGCTATTCTGAATAGGCTACCAGCTTTGTACTTTGTAGACAAACATTGCGCATAAGACCTCATTGGGAAATTGAATGCTGCTACTAATTTAATATTTGTGCTCAGGCATCTTGTATTTTGAGGTTTGTCGTAGAAATAAAATGAAAATATGAAACAAAACTTTGCAGTTATCCTGCACATGCATACTTGCGTTGAAACGCTTATTTCTGGCTCCCTAAATCGCTTGTACAGGTATTTTTCTGGCTCCGATATTATCAGCGAATCGGCGCTTTTTACCAGCCCTGCTCACATTTTTAGTTCTGCTTAAAGGGACTATCCCACCTTCTAAAACGTTGTTAAAACCAGTTAAATTGTGCCCGACTTTATAGATTGGATGACCAGGAACACGGTTCTGGCATTTATTTTTCATTAAACATCTTAGGCTTCCCATATTCCAAACACAAACTTTCAAATATGTGACGTCACAGCCCAAAATTACCTCCTTCCCCAGGCCACATTACTGTCATAAAGCTGATTCTTTTTACTCTGTAGGCACCACAACAAAGTTCAGACCAAGTTTTAAGCGATTTTTCAACGAACAAACCCATTTAAATCAGAATGACTAAACGAGGTGACGTCACACTAACGGTCGGGCCATGTTGAAGATAGGGCCTTGTACAAGGCCCATTTTCAAATGAAGGGAACGAATTTCTTCAACACCAAGAGGCCGCGGGGGTTGCAACCTAGATAGATAGTGGTTTCTGAACCTCGCCGCAAACTTGGCTATCTCAACTCAAACCCCATGTTAAAGGTGGGATAGTCCCTTTAATTGGTAATCGCATGGCCTACGCGATGCAATGTAACGGTAGTGATGCATAAAATTTATGAACAAGCTGAAGCTATTGATATAAGAAAAATCACTTGATCATATAAGTCATCGATCCTATTCACGTATCAGTGGTTCAGGGCCAGCATTGCTTTGCTGTTTCGCAGGAGCTCGAGCTGCGCATTGAGGCTCAGAAGCAGACTCTTCTCTCCAGGGACGAGAGTATAAAGAAGCTCCTGGAGATGCTGCAGCACAAAGGTCTCGGTGAGTCACGTATAGGGTATTGGTCGGCATATTGGCCACGTAAGGATGAAATGACTTTGATGAAAGGTCTGGGGCTGAAAATCTCATCTTGCTATCTTTTTCACGCATTTCCAATCACCTTTAATTGCAGACAGACACCGAATAGGAAAACCGATAATTTACATATTCCGTAGGTATTCCGCAGTCGACTAATCACGTAAAGATGCTGTGCACTGGAATGTACGGAACTACTCAGCTAATTACGAAATGTAGCACGAGGTTGACGAGAACTTCTTCTGCTACCTGTACTTATTTCGCTAGGTAGGCTCATTGAATTGCTTTTAGGTTCTTGTGCCGTTTTGTATTTACAAGCAAGCCCATTTGATTACTCGCCTATTAACGTTGCATTTATTTTCTAGTTTATCGCTACGCTCGAGTTTAATACATCGCGCAAAACTAACGCTAATAGTAGTGTCACTGACGCCCATTTTTTAACAAGTATGAGGCTAAATGGGACATCACTGACGTTGACAGTGGTATAGGTACTGACACTGAAGTCAACCATTACTGCACTGATGGACTCACGTTGACGTGGCATCACTGACACTGATGGTGCCTCACTGACGTTGATCCGGCTGACACTGATGGCGTACGCAACACTGACGCTGACGTGACTGACGCCAACACTGACGTGGCTGACGGTGCCGCTGACGGTGAGCCGGCTGAAGCCGAGCGGCACTGACGGCTGAAGTCCAGCGGACCTGACGGCTACAGTCGTCTGTCCTGCAGGCCAACAGGAGGAGGTGCTTCTGGCGCAGCAGCAGGCGCAGACGGCCGCTCACAAGCAGGTGCTGCCGCTCACCAGTGCTGGTGTCCTGTGTAGTAGTGGTGCAGTAGTGCCGCCTGCCTGCCTGTCTGTCTGCGAGACTTCCCCTCCCCGCCCGTCCAGCCCCGCCCCACCCGCCCCAACGGCCGAATGGAGACTTATCTATATTAGCTAGCCCGCGACTGACCACAGGTAGCCAGTTCGCTGGGAGCCCCCTGACTGAGTGGCTCGTAATTGCAGAGTTATGTCAAGCGCAGCTCTGGTTTGTGACCGCTGGGAGGCAGGTAAGCGGTCATCGCAAACATCTCCACAACAGTGCAGTGCACTTATGCAGGCGGCAAACTGCCTCTTAACCCCGGCACCTGGCCACATGTAGCGCCTGTGCTTGCTTTCGATGAATTTCCGCGCAGTGTCACGCTGGCCGCCCGGAGAAGCGTTCACTTATGGTACGCCAATTTCCGCCCCCGGCACCGGCCGCACCCGACGGTGGGAGCGGCCGGCAGTCCCACCGGGACCGTGGCCGCTGTCTCTAGCGACGGAGAGCTGAAGGAGGCGTCGGGCTCCCCTGGCGCAGAGCTTACCTGCGGCTCCCGTTCCGCACGCAATCGCTGATTGAAGCTAGTGAATCATGGTACAAATTTTCCTCGTAAATCAGAGTTGCTGCTGTATTCGCTAGCAAAGATCATCTCTGGGCCTAAAATTAATGAAAAATGATGCTGGATAATTCAAGGGAAAGCGGGTCCAGCGCTTTGAGCTATGTCACACAGGGTGCGGACGGGGCTGATGTCGCACTGCTTGTTCAACATCCAACTATAACTACCTTTCCTCCCACTAACTCTACATGTTTGCACCGCTCGGGGCGCGTCACGCCGGCCCGCTAACACCCCGGCACCGGCTCTGGTGCGTCGGACACCGCCGACCCTGCAGGGGCCACCCGGCTGACCCGGCCTGCGCATGCCTGCCCGTTTTAGGTGGTAAAGCGTTGCCCCAGGAGTGTCTGGCCAACATGCGCACCCAGTCGGATCTGGCCGAGGCCGAGGCACGCATCGCTCACCTCGTCTCCGTGCTCGGCGAGCGAGACATTGAGCTAGACAATGCGCGACAAGTAAGTGGCGACTGGAGCGCCCGCGACGGCCCGGCATGCGCGCCCCGCTCGGCCCGTAGTGTCCCGAGGTCGGGAGGGAGGAGGCAACTCTCTCGGTGGTGAAATCAGAGCCAGTAGCCCGCCTGTGTTGGTTGGTAGATAAGACGAAATTGGGTAGCTGAGATGATGAATGTGGAATGCATCAAGTAATCGGGACAGGTCCAGTAGATCCCAAGGCGTTATGGTCAGGTCGCGGCCGCAAATGAGTTTATGTTTTGTTTATTTCTTATTGTTGTTAAAAGTGTCAAGTTATTAAAACTAAATATGTATCTGGTTTCTTGTGTTCCCACGAGATTTGTTTAATTACTTAGAATTTGTGTTGCTTTTATCTGTCGGGAAATACCGTTGCATTATGTTCCCTTCACTTATCAATTTCAATCGTAAGAAACGTAGCGTACTATGTATTCAAACAAATAAGGTCAAAGATCCTGGACGCACATCTTCGGATATGTTCCTTTTGTTGACTGTGTTTCTTCTGTACATACACTGCACCGTTTCGCCGTAAAGTCGGGCGGCCCACGGCGTTTGACCGCGTCGCGTGGCCCCTATAGGAGCTGGACAACTACATAGACCAGTACCGCCGACTTCAGGCGGAAATACAGCAGAAGCTCAGCCAAAACCCCACCACGCTGACTGGTATCCTGGAGGTCAAAGACAGACGCATTGAGAGTCTCGAGCAGGAGGTAGCGCGCCTGGACTCGGAGCTGGGAAGGGCTCAGGAGGAGCAGCTGAGTGGACGCGACTCGCGCGCGCCCACCGGCTCGCCCAGAGCCCCCGGGGCCGGCGGCCTCGAGCACGAAAAGAAACTGCTCAAGGATAAAGTAAGTGCGCCGGAAGTGAGCGGGCTGTGCAGAAACCGCTAACCGCCACTGCACGGCCAGTGGAAACGCTTCTGTCCGCCGGATCGGCGGCAGGCGGCTTTTTGCCCGGGTGCTTATTTTTCTGTCGCTGATGTGTAAATACAGAATGGAGTGTGTTACGAATGAATGACGTGCTGGTGTAGCACGCTACATCTTGAACATTTAACGTAGTATCTTTTCGGCACGGCTCGGTCCGGCAGTCCCTCTCCCTCGCAGTCCGGCCACACGCCTAGCCTCGCTTTCCCACACCCAATTCCCCCCCCCCCCCCCCAGTTCCCCTAATCTATCACTGTCCGCACAGAATGGGCAGCCGTTAAACTCCCATTAAGACGCGCGCTTTTGGAGACAGCTACCGCAGGATGAACGATTCGAACCCCAACAAGTAACAGCTGGATCAGTAACATTGTCAACAGCTCATGGACCCACGCCGAGGACAGATAACGGCTGGGAGCGCTGGATCAGTAAGATATGTCAACAGATCATGGAGCAGTGTCAAGGATGGATGCCGGCTGGAGCACACAGCCTCCTTTGTCGGGTACAGCAGCCCAGGGTGAAAGACCCTGGCAAAACAACCGGGTGACCGACCTCACAATGGCCTCATGAGGTAGTTCCAGAGATCTCCGCAGAGGAAGAAGGCGCTGACTTACGGCCACACCCGGGCCAGTGGGCGGAGCAAGAGTGACGTCACAAGGGGCGTTGCCGGCAGACGAAACGGAAGGAAACAAAAGTTTGAATAAAATGAAATTGAAGAACCAAAATTAAAACTCGAAAATCACAAACCTTTCGGGGATTGTTTTATGCCAGCGATTACTAAAATGATAAAGCACTCAACACGAAGACGATTCGACGGCCAAAAATTGCAGGCACAGAGGAGCAAGGTGACTAAACAGGACAGAGGGCGCCATCTTACGGCCCCACCCACCAGAAGAAGGCAGAGGAAGATGACGTCGCAAGGGCGTGGCAGTCACCCCTCCCCCCCCCAACTATAAAAGGGTGCGCCACCCAACCAGAGAGAGAATCACAGTCGAGCAGCCGAGAGTCACAGTCCACAGCTGGAGCCGGAGACGCCATCTGGAGGCCGCCGTCAGTCCGGGGTCACCCGCGAGAAGCCTCTTCAGTTCGAGTGATCAGAACCGAGGACAGTAGCCGACGCTTGTGACCACACTGAGAAGCGGAAGCGCAGAGAAACTCCAGAATGTGAGTGTTGTTGAAAAGTCTGCTCAATCCCAATCCTTGACCCCCCCCCCCTCTGCCCGGTTGCCGTGCCGTGACGACTGCCAAACATTTTCGGTTGCCATAAAATGCACTCTCAATTGGAATTGGAAAACTTAAATTACTTTGAGCTTATTGGTCCAGACACCCTAGTAGCATATTAGGATCTGAATTTCGAAGTCATGTCAGAGTCGCCAGCAAACCGTTATTGTCAGTTGGAGTTCACGATTAGGCCCAGAGCGAGAGGCTAAAATTTGAATAAGCAGCTCATGGTCACGAACGTTGAGATTGATGACTGGATGTGTGACAGCGTTGAAATGTCTTTGTCTTCGGTCAAGCTGGTTCGTTCGATTTATTATGGGCGATGGCCAGGTGCGTTTTGAGGTTGGAACGTTTGTGAAATTAAGGGTTTAGATTCGTGCTGTACTCACTAAAAGTTGCATTGCGAAATCATTGGTAATATTGCTGTAGGAATTAATTGCGAAGTCGAAATCAATTATAGAACAGGTAAATACGGTTGAAAGGGAATGTAATGTTTTAAGGTGGCGACTGATTCATGCGATCGATCTATGAATATGGCTATGAGTTATGGTTTCCGACAGATACGAATGCTTGAGCTTACGGCGGAATTTCTTCTGTTACTTAGGTGCAGAGTTGCGAGCAGTGGTTTGAGGTTGACGGTTTGACACTTAGCGACTTTAGATGGTCACTTTGCGTCATTGAAATTGCGAAATGTCGAGTAACAGGTAGATGTAGAATTGTTTGTGGTTAGAACTAATATGCGACTAATATAGGTGCCGATCGTTGTGCTTTTGTAGAATAAATACTAGAAAGGACCACCTTTGTTGGGGAACGATTAAATGGGACAGGAATTTAATTTAAAAAAAAACTTACGTTGAATGGAGCTGATGAGATGTCGAACAGGGAGATATTGCAGCGATATTTTACCAAATTCACACTCACTGACACATCCGGTGAATCCACCCGGCCAGAAGAGACAACACGCACGAGCATTGCACCGCGAGTGATGACGCGCCCATCGCGGCGTGGCCTTGACTGACTGTCGACGCGACGCCAGCCGGCGGCCAGTATCGTCGCTCTCGACGCGGGCGTTGAGCCGCCAGAGGGCGTAAAAAGCAGCCACAACAGGGGCAGTGGGTTAGCCGTAATTGGGGCGCGGGCGGTAGGTGAAGGTCATTGTATATAGGAGCATGGTTAGTTGTGGAAAGTTGCAACGGGGTAAGAACGTAAACAGTTAATGCATAATTTTAAATATGACATGCTATTTGATATTTAGGACTGCACTTCGTTTGATGCGCATTGTTTACTGCTAATAGGATGATTTAAAATAGATTCCCTATGAAAGGCTAGGGACCCTATGACAATATTCTGGCACTCTATAAAGATAATTTGTTTAGGTAACTAGTAGCCCATCAGAAGCTATCGAACGAGTTTCAAGGAGTCATTTCCGTTTGAGCATTCAGCAATTCACTATGATACGGTGGAACACAACCAGACGACAGATCGGTGCGTACTAATTGGTTCTAGATCATCTGATGAAATCAAGAGCGGTTCAAGGTCTGCTAGGATTGTATACGAGAACTGATGATTAGGTTCACGCGTGCAGCAGCAATTAGGACTTGAGATTACGATTAGATGCGTTTCTGTTATTCGCGTTCTTGAGAGTTAGCGCCAATAATTACTCCACCAATATTGGCACAGGGCATTGTGAGGCACAGACGGCTTGTTTGCCCGCCTCCTATGGCGTAACGTTTACCAGCATGACTGTATGAGACACAGATGCACTTCTCTAAACCCAAGTCCAGACCGGAATAATAAGAGGGACACACCGTCACGTACGCAGGGCATATGCACGTTTTCCGCCAGTGGTACCGGCCACTGTTAGTTTTCCCGCTTAGGTAACACTGGGTGAGAAGGCAGTGAGAGGTTTCTACGGCAGGGGGAAGGGGAAGATTGGCACAGTGTGCAGTGGAGAGTAAGTTATGCCAAAGGCAAGAAGCCGAGGGTCAGGGGTGAGTCACCCAAAAGTGCGGATAAGGCGAGCCGTAGTGTCCCGAATAAGTCCTCATACTTAGTTTGTAAAGGTACCTTAATCGGTACTGGACAGCCTCAGGGGAGGGAAGAATGTACTCCAGGACACGTAAGGCCTTGAAGAGTAAATCCCATGGTTTAAGGAGAGTTCCTGAGGAGAGTTCCAGGATATGAACGGTGGTCCCTGGGTCGTGAACGGGAATGTTACACGCGGACCGGAAGAGGGCATAGGTAATCTCTCCCGGATAGAGAGATAAGTCGGATATAAATCGTGTATGTGTGTACTATAAGTCTATCGGACGTGTAGTGAATCCCATAAATTAGTAGGGTGGATATTGGTGCAATTATTCTGGACGGCCCTGCGATAAGTATCTTTGTCGCCGGTTAGCGGAGCATGCACTGGATTTCGGAAAGAGACATTTATCTCGCCGGGGAGACCATGGTTTGTAAGACGCCTAACACTATCGGAGGGAATTTCGGGGGCTACCAATTAAATTTGGGTGAATACATGAAATGTGAACGTAATGCGAGCAAGGGTGTGAGAATGATGACGCATGAATCTTAGAGTAAGGCCGATAGGAATTTGGTAGAGTTCGGTTACGGCAGTCGAACAAATGATTCTTGAGGGCAACTTAAAACTAGCAACGCTAATACGAACTAAGTGGGCAATTTTCGTAATGGGGAGGCCAGTGATATAGGGATGGGTGACTGGACGAATGATCACATTCAATTAATCAATGTAATTACCACCCATAAGTTTGGCAGTGGTCATCGGGACTTCGAATGCCCTGTCCTTCACCTGCCCATCTGTGCCGCAAACCCAGCTGATCGGATCCCGTTATCCCTAATCCGAGCAGCGAAGAAGCATCTCGTGCATCATGGTCTATACAATGAACAGAATCATCAAGCCTCTAAATTAAAAAGCATCTTCCATCAGATGCATTTGTACGCAAGGTGGATACTTACATCTCTATCCGGTGGATCTCATCTATCTCAGGATCTCATCACTATCTGGATCTCTCACTAGATCTATCTCGGGATCTCTTCAACGACTCTCAAGCTCCCCTGTTCTACCAGCTCTACTATCGAGTTCCTTCCAGCAGCGAATCTCTTTTCTGCTACACCGCCGAACAGCAGTGGACCGCGCTGTTTGATGAACCTCAAGATGCAGCTCTTTTTATTTCTGTACTTTTCCTTCCCTTCATTCCCTTGCTACACTGGCCAGCTGCAATCGCGTCTTCGAATGTGTGGCCACACGTTCCTTCTATTTAGAATAATATAGGTAGATTTATGCTTCAAAAATAACTAACCCTCATCAGAACCAGAACAAGGAACATGTCGCATGTTTCTTCGATTCAGGATATAGTATATCGTAGCCCCATGCAGTTGAAATCACTAACCCGCATCGGAATAAGACAAGTTTAGCGACTCCCACCTACCTTCTGTCGAAAGTCATTGTCTTTTAGCCCTTTGATCCAAACAATACCTAGTTGCCTTCATTTAATATTTCTAGGTAATAAATTCAGTAAATTCATCATATATCTTAGTTACATCGTCCGCCGATATATCTCCCCACCAGCGATAATGCGTGGTATAACTGCGCCTGCAGCGCTAATGGTTTACAGTAATGGACGGTAACTCGATAAATGGGCAACTGATTTTACCCGTTGGTAGACAGGACTAATTCCAGCACAACAATGTGAAGTGTCTACTATTGAAAGGCGACCTGCGTCTATTTAGTTTACAATGGGCCATCGATAATAATTTAGTGCTGAGTGAGCACTAAGCAACTACATACATATGGTATGAAAAGGTGGATCATTTACGGTTAATTCGCCTACAGTTCCAAAAAGCATACCTTTTTGTCGGGCCATTTACGAGACAAACGTGCAGTATTCGAGACGTGGGGTTGTGTTCCGCCGAATGTCTACCTCCGAGACACGTTTAGCTGGAAGTGGTAAACGGTGTCTAATTCCTCAAAATGATGTTGAACACTTATCTAGTGTAGCATGTTTGCAAGTGTCATTGACGAGGTTGGCACGAATGACACAACGTTGTAAAAAGCATGCTTACCTTAGCTTGCATGGCCTTTGATGCTCACATATAATATCTGACAGGAGCATATCCTTGCATCAATCCTGCTTTTTGTGTTTGGTGTTCTCTTGTAAGATTCATAGAATGTGCTTGCAATCATTCACTGGGTGATCGTTGATGAGCGCGAAGAAATGGAAGTGATCAGATAAGTAGGCGACTGTTGACTTAAGCTAGCTTGACGGCTGCACTTTGAAAAAAGGTTTGTCCTCGTATGTTATTTAATGTAACACAAGTTATCAATGTATCATACTGCGGGACATAAAGCTGTGTAAATACATATCATTCCACTGGTATGTCACTTCCTTCTCATCTGATCTTTATGAAAATCCCAAATAACATTGGTTGTGACAAATTTTAGCGTAGGCACTAGCCTGCTTTCGAGTGGGTCACCTCTCACAACTCAGGATCTTCATCAGCAAGTCGCAGACGGAAACAGATCAATAAACAAATTCACGAGCATTAGCTGCAGCTCTGTGCCCGGGATCACCGACCCGGGGCTGCCACTGTCCCCTGGGGTCCCTCCCTTACCGCCAGCACTCCAGTCCTGCAGGGACCGGTCATAACCAGCGTCTCGTTGCAGTACGACGAGGCTCGTGCCGAACTGCAGCGCCGCGATCAGGACATCATGGCGCTGACGGCCAAGCTGAAGACGCAGGAGGAGCAGCAGCACGATTACCAGCGCCACATCGCCGTCCTCAAGGAGTCCCTCTGCGCCAAGGAGGAGCACTACAACATGCTCCAGGCTGATGTGAGTTACCTGGTTACGCTTCTCTGCAGACGTGACCGATTAGACACAAATTTCATTACAGTTTAAAAAGTGCTTATTGCTCCTGTAGGTCCCTATCACGACTGATGGTCCTGCCGTCTCCTCCCTTAGGTTGAGGAGCTTCGACAGCGCCTGGAGGAAAAGAATCGCACAATCGACAAGAAGACGCAGTCAGCTCTTCAAGCTTCACAGGAGCGCAACAGGCTCAGCGGCGAGCTGAACGAAGTGCGCGACCATCTCGACATCAAGGAGCGGAAAATTAACGTCCTGCAGCGAAAGGTAAGCGGGCGTATTCGATACTAACTATGATACCGCCATCCTTGAACCACTTATCTTTCCCTGTGAAGTAAAGAATAAAAACTCCATCCTAAGATCCTCCGCCACTCGCGGCACTCGTGGTTCAACTACCCCAATATACAAGGAAACGTGACCTATCGCGACATCACAACTCTGTATGGACCGAACGAGTCTGGTGAAGGGTGAAGACATTCATTGCATCCCAGCTTCAACTTGGCCTGACTCTTTTTTATCTTGAAACTAACAGCAGTTTCCTTGTGCAAGTTATTACTAACTGACTAACAAATCTAATATTAGGTATCATATATCAGCTCTCTTGCATCTCTTCTAACATTAACCTCTGCAAGTAAACCTCCGTCTTGTGAATTTCCCTCTGATCGGACCAATCACACTTACCACACTTTCCGTCTCTTATCTTCTCTGTTCTAACACGTGTGCCCACCTCGTCCTTCTCTAACGCTGCTTGGGAAGGTGGAGAACCTGGAGGAGCTGCTCAGGGAAAAGGACAGCCAGGTGGACCTGGCTCGTTCGCGGCTCACTGCCGTCCAGGCGCACCATTCCTCCTCAGAGGGAACTCTTACCTCGCTCGAGGAGGCCGTCGGAGACCGAGAGCGGCAGATCACGCAGCTGCGCGAACAGCGGGATCGTGCTGAGAAGGAGCGCGCACAGGAACGAGAGCAGAGCGAACGAGAACAGGCAGACCTCAAAATGAAACTTCACGCCCACGAGTCTGAGCTGGAGAAGCTGCGTGTGCGTCTGGAGCGTGCTCAGGCAGAGAAGACTCGGCTGGAGAGTCGTCTGGAGGGCTCGCAGGCAGAGTTGGGGAAGGTTTCGGCGGAGCTGGACCGGTTACAGGGAGACGCCGGCAGCCGTAGCTCCGAGATCGAGACGGCACGTCAGAGGGCCACTAAGCTGGATCTCGAGGTGGATCGACTGCACGCTGAAAACGAGAGACTTCGCTTCGAGATGGAGCGTGATCGCGAGCGCGTCAATCGAGAGCGTGAGCGCGAGCGTGAGGCGCGCGATTGGGAGCGTTCAACCACCCCAGTGTACACACCACAGCGAGAACGCCACCTCAGCGGGAGTCTGGCCGCCTCCCTGGAGATCGAACGCCTTCAGGAGCGGCTGGACAAAGCGCAGACGGACCTGCGCCGTGCGCAGACAGAATCGCGTCTCCACCAGGGCGACAACGAGAGGGCGCAGGTGGAAGTAGAACAGCTGCAGGAGAAACTCGAGAAATCCTCCGGCGAAGTGTTCCGTCTGAAGACTCGTCTGGAGAGTGCGCAGACTGAGAGGGAACAGCTTCAGGAGGAGCACGACCGCACTCAGATGGCTCTGACCCGGTGTATGACCGAGAAGGATCGGCTGCAGGCGGAGGTGTCTCACCTGCGGGACGAGGTGGAGCACACGCAGCAGAGCGTCGGGCGCGCTCAGCTGCAGCACGACAAGGCGCAGGGAGAGCTCAGCAAGACGCAGCTGGAGCTCTCTCAGCTGCAGGACAAGCTGGACAGGACCACCGGCGAACTCCGGCGGGTGAGTGGACACGATCGGGTGTAAACGTAAAAAGATGGGCTGCTGCCGAGCTATGAGTGGGCTGCTATCCAGCCATGGGTGGGCTGCTGCCGAACTATGGGTGGGCTGTTATCTAGCCATGGATGGGATACTATCCAGCCCATGGATGGGCTTTTTAGAGCCGAAGATGGGCTGATATACAGGGCTCTGAATGAGCAGCTCCCAAGCTGTCGGCTCGCTCCGGGGCGCACAGTCTCCGAAAGAGTCTCAATTGGGTTCCGATATGTAAGCTAATGGAGACATTCTTCTTCGATCTGTCGTCTCTAATGCAGCCATCATTTATATATGATCAATGGACTCTAATGCATGCATTTTATACCTCGTTCCGCTGAGCAGAGTTCGTCTTCCTTAGACAGCGATGATAGGTTGTTTACATGGAACTTGATCGGTTTTCAGATACAAATGGACAAAGAAAAGGCAGTTTATGAATTAGATTCACTGCAAGTTCAAGTTGACAAGGCACTGGGGCAGTGTTCAAGAGTACAAAAAGAAAAGGAGGTGGTTCAGACTGAGCTTCAGAAGCTGAAGGACAAACAGGACAAGACGCAGGTATGTTTAACAGCTTTTTACTTATAGAGCACTTCTAAAAAGACGTTGTTACATTGTGATTACAGAAATGCTTACATCGTTCAATACTGTTCGAATAGTCAAACCAGGACCCCTTCGATTCTCTGCAATCACTGAACCGTTGAAGGCATGTCTACAGAACAACGTCTAGTCAACAGTTCTCCCTCGGTAACAGGTCGCCGTCGATAATCCCCCCCCCCAGCCCCCCTCCCAATCCGATGACAATGTTAAGCCAGACACGCTGCAATCAAAGCCCGCGTGCAATCATGTCCCAATCCGCCGCGACCGTTCCGAACAGGTCACTCAATTAATCGTCCCGTGTGCCCGGCGACGGGCACTGGCACCGTGGCGGCGCCGCTCGGGCCCTGTCGCCGCTCAGCGGCATTGCTCAGGGGCCAACGGCGTGTGACCACCCAGACTTATACCGTGTCTTGGTCCGCGGTAGTTGGTTGGAAACGTGGCGAATAATTCGCTAAAGCCCATGTAAGAAAAGATCAAATTAGAAAACAGATTGGTATTCAATTATAACTGGATTTGCGATATCATAGCATCTTATTAATATTGTGTTTTAGGTATTCTGCGCATGCTGTAAAAACAAACAATGATGATAAAATAAAATTTATTTGAGGGAAACGGCGCACAAATACAATAAATATTTCGGGTTGGTGTCTTTCCCTACCGGAGTGGCTATGAACTAAGCCAGGGTGTAAAACCTCCACCACCATATCACTATCATCGTCGTTTCAAAAGGCTTTTGCCGAGAGATTTCACTTCTCGCGGCCTCAATCTCCACGGGCGACTTCCCATCGCGGCTCACTGGAGCTCAACTTCTTTCATTTGATGGCCATCGAGCTGGCGCGTTCACGGAGAGGAGACACTGACGGTGTGCCCTCCATTTCTCCAGTCAATCGGAAGGGCTCTCCGGGGTTTAGTAGAGTATGAGACCGTCAGTCTCCTCCGGGCTCTGTCTAGCGTAGCGTCAGACGCTGCGTCTGCGATCAGTGGTAGCGGTGGTGACGCTGGTGATAGCCGATAGTTGCACCAACTCTGACAGAGACTACTCAGTATTGAGTGTCTTCTTACCAAATATTAATCAAGTGCTGCAATATTTGGCGAGTCGGTTCGCGAAGGGTCTTGTCTTCGGAGGGAAGGAAAAAGCCGAGAAATGGAGCGTCTTTTGAACGTCTTTTGAACGTCTGCGACACTTCATTTATTCAGTCGCTATCTTGAAGGAATATGCGTCGGTTCGAAAATGGCATTTCAGCGAGTCGGCCGAGTCTCGTAGTCTTGCATACTATCTTCTATTCATGAGATTCGCATTTTGCTGGTGTGGCTAAATCCAATGTATCTATCGTATATCAGCAAGCGACCATGCCTAATTTACCGTCCCAGCAAAGCGGAAGAGCCGTTTTTCCTGTCGTCACGCTCAGTTGTCCGAATCTGGGGCCGCTCTGGCTGCGTCCCCTGAGGGCGGTCTCAGGTGGTGCCGTCGACCGTTCACGGTCACTGCTGCTCCCTGCTGACAGGGGCAGGCCGCGCGGCAATGTCCCGGGGCAGGCCGGCTATATCGACCGGCAGCGGCAGCCACCGCGACTGCTGACCGGCCGGGCTGCGGCCCAGAGCGCGCCTGGTGCTCCCCAGATGCTGACGCCCCAGCTACCGTCACCGACTGCCACTCTTCAGATACTGTCCCCCCGGATACTGCTGCTGTCCAGATGCCACTGCTGCTCCTGAGATACTTCCGCACCTCAGATTCCTACTGCCACTCAGATACCACTGCTTCCAAGGTACTGCCATTTCCTAGATACATACCATCCCAGGCTGTCGCTTCCCAGATACTGCCGTATTTCAGATGCTTTATCAAGGGCGGATACTGTCAGCGGGCTTGGACTGCCACCGGACGCCCGTATTCCATTTACTGTTACTGATTGCTGCACTCCAACAAATATACCGCTATCCGCTACCGAATGCCGCTCTACGGCTGCCACTCCTCACTTGTCCAGTATCGGTTTGATCTATCCAGTGCCCTGTCCTGACCTCCTGTCTTGCCAGCGCGGCAGTGTACGGCCGGTGATAATCTTAGGCTGGTATCTCGTTTCGCATCCCCAGCCCTCAGTCAGATCAGCAGGGCTCCCGACGTTGACCCCGCGGGATTCTGCACAACTTTGGCAAACTTGGCAGGATGACCGGACCGGGCCGGCAATGTAAACGTCGCATTTATGCTCCCGGATGCCTATGATTGGTGCCCGGGCTCGGCGGCCGCTGAGTGTCCCGGTTCGCAGAATCTGCTGAGGCCCAGGGCACGATAACAAACGGTCAGGAATATTCAGTGGCCAAGTAGTTCAAAAGGATTCTCCGTTATTGCATATGCATGCAGCGGAATGTTATCAAGGGCCGGCATTTGACTCCGTGACCGCCAATGGAATTGATGGGGGCTAGTGAGCTGCTTTTACCAAAATTTTAAACTGTAGTGATGGCTAGATTAAGAACAGGATGCAGGCTGAAGACGGCGACATATTGGCGCCGACTGCACTGTTTTAAACATTTGTTATATTTCATTCTAGTAATAACTTTCACGTTCAGTTATCACAATTGAGTTCCAAGGCCGTGCAAAAATAATGTCAGCCGCTTAAGAAATTCCTGACGTAGATTGGGACAAAAGGTCAGCTATTGCACACAAACGAGGAGACGTCAACAGTCACAAAGTGTTCGTCAGCGGCTACTTCAATGAAATAAGCGAAACAACGGAATACATAAAATGAATTAACACATTTCGATGAGGGGCCCACACTGAGACAGCACACATGGATATACCCTGGCACACATCCCCTACCCCACCTGGCTGAGTGACGAACCTCTGACCCTGCTCGCCTCAGAGTTACAGATAATGCCCGTCTGTCGGTTGACGGTTATATGGCCTTGACTTCTATCATCATCTTCCGCAGGGCCAGCTGACCCGCGTGACGAAGGAGAAGGAGTCCTCCGATGCGGAGAGGTCGCGTCTGACGGAGAAGCTGGACGTGCTACAGAGCCAGCTAACCAAGGCGCTCCGTGACCGGGACGCGGCGCATACCGAGCTCGATCTCCTCAAGGAAAAGGTCGATAAGAACGCCGCCATGATTCAGAAGCTGCAGGTCAGTCAGCTATTGCAGGCATTGCTTAGCATTTTTCCTGTCATCTGGCTTATCTGCCTCCAACGGAGGGCTGTTTGGTCGTGTCTGGTAATGTTGCATATCAGTTCATCCATTTGAAGACCTATAATTTTTATCGGAAACATGTTACTATCTTTTACGTTATCTTCCCTTCAGCTTGAAAAAGAAGATAAAAACGCGGAGATAGATCATCTGAAGGACAAGCTCGATAAGAATGATCTGCTGGTTTGTCGACTCCAAGAAGAGAAGGAAACGTTGCAGCGCGATCACGAACGATTGGTAGAAAAGTATGAAAGGTACAGATTGAACCTCGACGGGAGATGTATTTCTTAAATCCCCTCTAATGTAATTGCTTTTACAAACATGCTCACGAAATACACGAGCATGTACGTGATGTCATGCTACCTTGAGAAGTGTTCGTCTACGCTAAGTCTGGTTTCAAATAGGTATGCAAACCATGCAACAAGTGATACACGTTTATGGGGTATCGAGTCCCTGAATCTCAAGTCAGAACATATGATAATCCTCTTCGTGAGTGATCCCCAATTCAGGAAAAACGACGCTGTAGAATCCAACGCACCTACCGATTGGTTTGATCGTTATGATACCTGTTATTTTGCACGAAAACGTACAAGCGGTGTCCAATTTGGACGTTGTAAGTGACTCTGTTGACGTCAAGTATGCTGGACTTCAACAAAGGACCTTCGGTTGACCATCGCCTTGACCATTACCGATGTGTACGTTTACGAACTGACGTTCATGTGTGTGTCGCTTGCCCGCCAGGTCGCAGGGGGAGGTGCAGCGCCTTCAGGCCCGGCTTGAGACGGCCCAGTCGGACCAGGACCGGCTGCAAGCTGACGGCGAGAAGGCCCACCTGCTGCTCAACAAGACCCGTGACGAGCAGCGGCGCGGTCAGGAGGAGCTCGAGAAGCTGCAGGAGCTCTACGACCGCAGCGCAGTCCAGTTCATGCGGATGAAGGACAGCGAGGCGCGCTGCCGTGAGGAGACTGAGCGCATCACTGTCGAGCTGGAACACCTCCAGGAGAAGTACGAGCGAACGCAGATGGAGGCCAAGAAGCTGGCCAACGAGCGGGAACAGCTGAAGGAAGAGGTCGAGAAGCTGACGTTTGATGTGGAGCGTGCCAAGGCGCAGTATCAGAAACTTCAGAGTAACCAGGAACGTAGCAACGAGGAGACGGCGCGACTTCAGGTAGAACTGGACAAGGCCCAGGAGAAGCTGGAGCGGAATCAGTCGGAGCTGAAGAAGGCTCAGACTGAGCGCGACAAAGCCCTGGCGGAGACAGACACCGGCCAGGCAGAGATAGAGCGGTACCTGGTGCGGATCGGGAAGTACCAGGACACACAGGAGCGAGGTCGGGAGGAGCAGGAGCGGCTCAAGTTTGAGGTTGAGCGTCTCCGGGAGCGCCTGGAGAAGGCACAAATGGAACTAGAGACTGAGCATCTAATGAAGGAACGCTTTGAACAGGATGCTTCAAAGCTTCGCCTCGAGCTAGATCGTCTGCAGAGCAGCCAGGAGCCTGGTCTGGCGATGAGTGACGATGGCAAGTCGAGGATCCAGGCCGAAGTACTCCAGGGAGAACTGGATCGTATGCGCGATAAGTACGACTCGGCACAAATGGAGATACGCAAACTCCGAATACAGCTAGAAAAGCGGCACGAGGAGATTCTGATTCTGCAAAAGGAGCTAGACAAATACGAAAATTGCTCAATGAAGCTGAGTTCCGAAAAGGAACAGCAGCAGAGCGAGCTGGAACGCATCAAGTCTGAGCTGGGCCGCATTCGCTCTCGGTACGAGGCGGCGCAGACGGAGGTAACGCGTCTGGAGCAGCGGACCGCGCACCTGGAGTCGGAGAACGTGCGTCTGCGCGGCGAGCTGCAGCAGGCGCAGTCGGAGATCGAGCGGCGCCGACACACGCCCGACGAGTCCAAAGGTGAGGCCGAGCGGCTGCGCGGTAAGCTGGAGAGGGCGCAGGCTGAACTGCAGAAAGCCACCGAGCAGCGGCGGGCGGTGGAAGCGGAGGCGGCCAGGCTCGCTCGCGACCTGGAGCACGCCCAGCAGCGGCTGGCGCGCTTCAGGGACAGCACCGAGGCGGCCAAAGTCGAGTTCGAGAAGATGGCTGCCGAGATCGAGTCGCTGCACAGTCGGCTGGAGCAGACGGCCGCGGAGCTGCGCACCGCCGAGGCTGCCCGCAGGGATCTGCAGGAGCGCCTCGACCAGCTGGGCTCCAGTGGGGAGCAGGCGGAGCAGCGGGTAGCCGTGTTCCAGGAGCAGTTGGCCACCGCCTGCGGGGAGCTGGAGCGGGTCCAGTTGGAGAGACGCGCCGCTGAGGACCGCGCCAAGAAGACTGAGGCGGAGATGGCCGGGGCGGCGCGGCGCGCCACCGAGCTGGAGTCGCGCCTCTCCCAGCTGACTGCCGAGCGCGACCAGCTGACCGCGCGGCTGGAGGAGCTGCGCCGTCAGCTGGTCGCGCAGCAGGCGCTCAGCGAGGAGGAGCGCGAGGAGGAGGAGCGCACCTCTCGGGAGCTGCGCTCGGAGCTGGAGCGCGTGCGCCGGGACGCAGAAGAGGCCCGCACGCGTCACGAGGAGGCGCTGGCCGCGGCCGGTAACGACACGGAGCTGCTCCGTCTGGCCCAGCAGGCGGCCGACCAGGAGCGGCGACGTGCCGAGGCGGCCGAGGGCAGCACCAAGGAGCAGCGAGCGGAGCTGGAGCGGCTCCGGCAGCTGCTGGAGACCTCCCAGACCGAGCGGCGGGAGTCGGGAGACGTTCTGCAGCGGCAGCTGGAGCAGCAGCGTCTGCAGCTCGAACAGCAGCGCCAGCAGCTGGAACAGCAGCAGGTGGTGATCCAGCAACAACAGCAGCAGTTGGCGGCGGCGCAGGCAGAGGAGCCGCCGGCCGGCGACTCGATGGAGGTACAAAAGCTGCTCGCGGAGCTGGAGCGTTCCAAGAGCGACATGCAGAACGCGCGAACAGAGCGAGAGCGGCTGCAGTCGCAGCTGGAGATCCTGGTGCAGGAGCTGCAGAAGACCCAGGTCAGCGGACGGCCGTCCGCGTCCGGCTGCTGCCTTGAGCCGAATGCGCCGTGTCTGTGTCGTGGCTCGCTCTGGCTGTCTCTCTCCTCTGTTTTCTCACTGCGCTTGGGTGTGCCGTGGCCGCCACCGCTGCCGCCGCCGCCGCACGACTCGCACCTGCGTGGTATCTAGCCGTTCGTGTTCACTCTCTCTTTCTCTCGTTGTTCAGCCTCCGCAATCTTACAGCAATGCCTGGACGTATATGGTCGATTCTAAACGTGGCCTGTCATTGGTAAGCATATTTGAACACACTCGTTAGTTTGAAATGTCTCCGCACAACACGCTTCTGTATGTCGTAGTACCGGCGAATCCAGACGTAAGAATAGCATGTTATACTCGGCAGATAATTTTATTAACATTAAATGCAACCCGTTTTAGTACAAATAGCCTTCAACCCTGGATGATTGAGACAATCAAGTGCTGGATTCGCCAATCGCTGTACAGTTAATGTGGAACTCAGTGTTAGTCTCCTGAGATTGCTGGCTCATTTTTTTATGTATACCTACGGCTAACACCTACATGCTTCACGTTGGACCTTTATCTACACATTACGTTCAGCTGCATTTAAGTGTGGCTACATGAGGACAATTTTATTAGTTTTATGCTTTCTGTTTCGTGCTCCATTCAATTCCACACATTTCAGCAGCCTTTTGTATTTTCATTGTTCTGATTGATTTTTGGTAACTCAATTCAACCAGACATGCTGAAACTGATGAGTGGGATAAATAGTACGGATAACATAAAGTTCATATAAATATACGTCAACGTAGCCATTACTTTATAGGTCTTGCGAGCCACTGATTTATGTTGGTATACAGATATTGCTTTGTGTTAGAGCCTAGACTGATCTATGAATTACGACAGTACCGTCCTGAATGGCGATGACACCTTCCGTTTGTTTTAAAATTGTGTGATACCTACGATATGTTAATTGTTCTCTCTTATATGTACTCTTTCGATGCGAGCTCTTTGTACATATACATGTATACCTACTATTATGTTCAAAACATCTGAGTTAGCACCTACTAACTAGACATGTAGGTGAAGCCCCTTATAAATGTGCAAGTTCGACTGAAACCCCGTCAACCTGTCCACAGTTAATTCATTAATCCGTTGTTCCGTTGCTTATCGTGCATTGGTACAAGCAGTTCCTTCTATAGTGAAAAGCTGAGAATGTTTTATCAAGCTAAGTCGTACGCATGAAAGTCGATCTTTTCTTCGTTTTCTTGAACTGTGAAATACCTAATTGAAAGTGTAAACGTAAAATAAGTGACACCTTCCGACGGTTCTTAATTTTATCTTAAAAAGTTTACCGAAGAGAAGTGATTTCATTTTTTCCAATATTCTGATAGCATGATCGACCCTATTCCTCGTCTCATTCACTCGGCGTAGCTGACCGAACCCCCATCCCCCGCGGCATGCAAACGTTTCAGCTGGATCTCCGGGAAGCCCAACAGAGGCTATCGACTGGTCACGCCGACGGCGACACGGAGCTGCAGCAGAGGCTAGAGGAGCAGCGGCAGCTGGCGCAGCAGCGCGACCAGCAGCTGCAGAAGCAGGCCCGACAGCTGGCCGACTCAAATAGGCAGCTGGAGGACTCGCGGCAGCAGCTGCAGCAGCTGCAGTCGCGGCTGCACCAGCTGGAGGCGGCGCAGGTGAGCGGCCGCAGCCGAGGAGGGAAGTGGATTGGACCATCTCGACTCAGACAGAGTCGAAATATCTATATCGGTCGAAACAATGTTATTATAACTAGTACGAACTATTTTTGGAGCTTGCATTAACCACTGCTCTTTATTAAATGATGTTGATGATTCTCCCGACACCAAAACATAAAAGGTGCTTTAGACGTTCATTAGATGGCCGTCACAATTGTAGCAATGATTAAATTTTCCCGGACATCGTTGTTAGTGTTACGACGGTGGCAGCGCTGCCAGTCTCAGGTATCTTACGACAGAACAGTGGTCTTGCCGTTGATCTGACGCCTGTGTTGCGCCCCAGCCCTCAGCGGAGGGCGACCGGTCGGAGCCGGCGGCGGCGCAGCTGGCGGAGCTGCAGGCCGAGCTGGCGCAGCTGCGAGAGGAGCAGAGTCGCGCGCAGAGCCAGTCCGAGCGGCTGCTCCACCTGATGCAGATGTCGCAGGAGGAGCAGCTGGCCAAGGACCGGCAGATCAAGGAGCTGCAAGAGTGAGTAGGAACTCCAGGGCGCGATGGCACTGCCGGGTAGACGGGTAGAAAGTGGAGGTTGAGACGTACTCTAGGGATAGAGTTACTGCCGTGGGGACGGCTTTGAGAGTGCGTCTACACTTCAAAGAACCGTATAAAGGCATTCTCAGTGATCTCGTTTGCCTATAACGTTCGCACGTCACCGTGTGCCTCACGTGTCTGGCTCCTTTGACGCCATTATTTGTTTGTGTTTGCCAGTGCGCTGAAGAAGACTCGCGGGCCGCCCGCAACAGCACCCCCTTCGACGGCAGCCTCGCGAGCCACCACCCCCGCCGGCGGCTCAGCGCCCAAGGTAGGTCTCCCTCCGGCGGCCGAGGCGCCTCCGGTCCGCTAGGTGACAGTCATCGTGTCCTCCGAGCATGCACTTCAGACATTTAGAACGGTGTTCAGAAGGCTTCTGCCGGCTGCTTTCTCGCTGTCGTACTAAACTGAATGTGCGCCTAATACCGATGTGCTGGGAAACGGTCCGGTTTCGACTGGATCGCCTAATAGCGCAATGTTCAACTAACACCGCCAACACCAGACTAGCGGTAGACAGTTAACTGTCGCTGTCTCGATGTCCTGATGCTTGAGAAAGATGAGTATGTTCTCGGCTAACACGACACCGTACTAACACAGCTTCTCTCTCCTGGCTCCCTGGCTGTCGCTGTCGCTCTTCTCTGGCTCAACGTGGTCATCGTTCGGTGTACCCTGCGGCTTTCTGTTGTTCCGTTACCATCACCGTGGTTTGGTTGTTTCCCGTTTCGCTGGTGTTTCCTGTGTGTTTGTGTGTGCGTTTCGCGGGCCAGCTGCTCTCCCTGTCGCTGCCAGACTCGGCCGGAAGCGCTGCCAGTGCCGCCGCCAGCGCCGCCGGAAACGTGGCCGGAAACGCCGCCAATGCTTCCAAGGCCATGGGCGGCTTCCTCAAGAGCCTTTTCTAGAAAAGTGAATGACACTGCCGACGTCGTAAATTGTTCTATTGTATCGTGATCTGTGAAATCGTGTGGAATCAGGCGGACTCACCGCGTCTGCCGGCGCTACTGGGGCGTTAAGATGTCGGGAGTGGGAGGCCATTTCGTTGATGGGCGGAAGTGCTCGTCGGCTTCCGCTGGGTCTTTCGTTTTTGTTTGGTTCTCGCCGCGCGTTTGGTGTGCGCGAGTGTGGGTGGCGGCAGCGCTGACCGTCTGGCCGGCGACCCAGGCTGACCAGGACGAGGCGGCGCGGCTGCACCGCGAGCTGCGCCACCGTGACGCCGAGCTGGAGCGGCGCGGCGCGCGCGTCTCCGAGCTGGAGGCCGAGGTGACGGCGCTGGAGGCCGAGCTGGCGCAGGCCGGACGGCTGCCAGAGCTCGCCCAGATGGTGGCGCTGGTCAAACAGAAGGCGACCCGCTGCCAGGAGCTGGAGGGCGCGCTGCGAGAGGCGGCGCGCCAGACTGAGGACCGCGAGGCCGCTCTGCACGACGAGGCGGAGAAGCACGCAGAGCTGACACAAAAGGTAGGTCGTCAGGACTTCGTTAACCCCGGCTGTGATGATGTTTGAATTGGAAGGATGCAAAGATGTGAAAGGAAACTGAAACTGACTTTTGCAGGCTATTCAAATGTTATATGACGGAAATAAACGGTGCACGCTCCTAGCGCAATGTTATATGTGCACCGCAACCTTGCTTGTGAGAAGTCAAAACGCTGTGTGCGGCTTATGTCGTATGAAGGTGACGCCCCTGACAGTCCGGCTATGCACTGCGCAGATGCAGGAGCTGGAGGGTCGTCTGGGGGCCATGCAGCAGGCGGCTGACGCTAGCTGCAGCAGCTGCACGCCGCTGCGGAAACGGCTGCGGACCGTGCAGCTGCAGCTGCAGCAGCTCCACTCGGAGAGACGCCGCCAGCTGGAGGAACTCTTTGACCTCAAGTAAGCAGCGGATGACAGCGTCATTGTGCTTGTAACGGTGCAGTACACGGATAGGGCAGTACACGGATACCTACAGGATTTCCTTTTTTTGCTCCGCCAGCCTAAAGCCAGTCTGGAGCAGGGTTCAGGATTTCCAAAGCTGCAATTTCCATGCTGAGCATCTTCTTCGGGTACCCTCGGCCTCTTTTCTTTTCGCCGCCTCTGCCGGTGACCTGAGACACCACTGCTTCGCGTTTCGGCAGGCAGGAGGCGCTGGCGTCGGCGGTGAGTGAGAAGGACGCCCACCTGGCGCTGCTGGAGGTCTCGGGGATCCGGGACGCGCGCACTGCGGAGCAGGCAGACAGCCTCGCCAGCCAAAAGCAGAAGCTCGTCGAGAGGATGCGCCATGAGGTCAGTCACAAACCTGAGGGCACCGGGCACTGGGCAGGGTGGAAGAGTCTACTGACAAATCAGTCCTCAGTCACGGCGCTTAAAAATAAGTCCTCAGTCACCGGGGCTTGGCCATTTTTGTGTGTTGTAGAGACCAGAGAGAGACGTCCTAAGACGCCGGTGCTAGGAAGGGTGACTTAGTTATTGTACCATTTTGTTACACGTGATTTTTTTCACTTTGTCCGCCAGAACGAGTGCCGGGTGCGGCTACTGAGTGAGTGCGAGGCTGTGGATGTCTCCAGTCTTCCGTCGAGCGATGACTCGTCCCCGCGCCTTTCACCAGTCTCATCGTAGGTTAGTGCGAACTACACTGCTAGATGGTGCCGGCTGCACTGCTTAGTCGTGCCCGTATGTGCTGGATGATGGAACAACTCGTGGAAACGTCGCAAAGCACAACTTGTCGTTCCTACAAATGTTTAAGCCGTCTAGCTCTTCTTCCACTTGTCATGACTCACATATCGCTACATAACATTGCTACGTGAACTCGATCATTCTAAACGATCTTTTACCGCATCAAAACGTCTGAGATCCTATATTTTAACATGTTCCAGATGCCGAGCTGTGGCCGCCGCCACGGCCGACTGGGACCGTCCGCCACCGAGCTTCCGCCGCCTGTCCGCAGCAGTGTGTGTGTCTGTCTGTCTGTGTGTATGTATGTGTGTAGAGGTGCGTGAGTGGCACTACAAAGAACTGATCGGTAGCCCCGGACCTGGTGACGAGACTCACTCAGACCAGGTCTCAGGCGGTAGCGTGAGATGGACATAAGACGAGACATCGATAGATATGGATAGGTTGTTGAGTCGACGGTTATTTATGGATACAGTTCTTGACGAATGAGTACCAGTTCAACGTAATTATGTCGCAATTGAAAGTCCTCAAAATAAGGGATTTTAGAAGACATTCAGTGGAGATGCGGCAAAGTATAGATAAAACGTATCACATATACCGTTGACCAGACGCTTTAATATGATATCATACGCACCTAAGAAAGGTTCATAAGTACGATTGCCTTGTTGAACATGTTGGCAGCATGTGGTGTCATGGTTTGGCAGCACTGCCTGCTATTGTCACCCACCGCAAGCCCGCCGGCTAGCTGCAGTGGTTTATGGGGGACGCGAGCGTCACACCGGGCCGTGATGCTTATGATGTACCCTGAGTCACGCCGCCGAGAAGGTACCGGCGTGCTGTCATGTTGTCAGTTGTGATGCTGGTTGTAATGGTGTGACGTCGGACGAGACAAGGAGGATCGTTCTGGAGCAAAAGGCAAATGATTGTGCCCCGTCTCCACTGCCCGACATGTGCCATATTCTATGAAACTGATGTTCGGCGTATCTGTAAGAACCTTAGTTCACACCTTGTTGCGTAGTTTTGGTGATTTCGGCCCGCTGAAGCCGTTTTGCCAGCGTAGGTTTTGTGACAAAGGCCGAGCCCCGCTGCAGCTCGCTACTGTGATGACCGATAGACTTCTCAGCATTCAGACCCTCTTATCAGCCCCACCTAGTGTTGTCTCCGTGTGTAGTGTGACTGTTTCCAGGCACCCCTCGTGTTTCCATTCTTCGTAGTCCGCTGACCGGACCCTAGTCACAGGCGCTGCAGCTGCACTGTTTGGTGGCACTTCCCGCCTGGATAGACGGGCCATGTAATGCACAATGTCGTCTTTATCGCACTCTTTGCAGCATTGTGCACACCCGCTCTGTTTTGTGCTGCTGCACCAATACGTATGCGGTCTGTACCCTTTGCGCCAAGAACTGAGCATCAACTCTGAGTTCTCTAGCGGGCTCAATGAACGCTGTTATTGGAAGAGGTGTTTTGCTAGGTATTTAATATCTATGTAGAAAGACGCTGATAATAATATCACTGAGCATAATTGGACTGGTTTCGTGTTAATTACGCAGAATAAGTCATGAGTGCTGGTGCTATGACTCGTTATATTTTTCTGTTGACACACGTTTATTGAAGCAGCAGGCGTGTGTTCATAGAAAGACTGACATGCTGTAGTGAGGAGAACAAGCCACCTATCTCGAAGGCGGTCATTCTCACTCTGTCGGCATATCTGCCTGGATATTGGACCGCTCATTTATGTAGAATACATGCTGAGTGGGATCCGGCCAAGTGTTTCAATGGGCGTTATACCGGACTCCTCTGAAGTCCATATGCAGATTGATCTAGCTATGCAAGAAACAGGAACTTCCCTGGCTTAAAACGCAATAGGTTTTCAAAGGCAGCGATGAGTGTGCAGTTCGATTTGTTTGAGAGCTGCGCGGGAAACTGTTTGGATGTAGATATACAGTGGCTGAATTTTGTCCAGTGCTTACTGGGCTTACTCCTAGCTCTTCCGCAGTAGATTAGGGGGAAATCGGCAGCAACTACCCACGCCCTCTGTGAGGCGGACGGTGGCAGTGGGCCCCTGTCCGCGCCGACCACTGGGATACAGGTGGCGCTGCCACTGCTCTATTCGGAGAGTCCCATACCACCGGTATTGTTCGTGGCAATGCCCGGTGCTCATGGGCGATTATCCAACATGCACTGTTCACTTACGCCCACTCTCTGATGGCTGGTGACGAGGAGTGACGACTGCGAGGCGGGGTGAGGGGACAAACGGCCTCCAGCGCGGTGGTCCCCCATATACCAGCCGATAGTCTCAAAGCATGCGGAGGTCGTGAGAGGCGACTAAGGCACCGGGATACAAAGTCAGATCGACTCGAGCATTCGGTTTGCTGTGTCCGTCATTCTTCGGTTCAAAGCCGTTTGAATGAGCTGAAATTGGGTCTCAAGGACCCCGAAATGTAACAGCGCTGGACAGAGCGAACAGGCTTCTCAGCTCGAAAAGCATCCCACCATCCTACAATCTACTAGGAATCCAACTTCTTACATGGCCTTTGGATATACCGCCACAAGAGCCACAGCGATATTCGGTAGCGGGCTCAACTGCCTTATCGGTCCATTTCAAACAAGTCGGGACGCTGCGCCATTGGAGGCGCAGCACATATATGCCGCCGAGATGACGCATTTGTCTAAGAATAAGAATCAATCGAATAGACTGCAGAATGCACATACATCAATGAACACTCCAAATGGGCCAATTAACTTCTCGATGTGTATTATTTGCATCAATGCTGCAATTATTTTCATCCGAATCCTAGGTCTCCAGACCATGGACTCGACCGACCGTCAACCGGTCAGTGCTCTCGGTTTCCGTATAATTCAAAGCAATAAATCAAGCATTCCAAGCTCAAATGCTCATTCATTGCGCTTCTAATTCGATATACATCAGCACATCTCGGGGCGAAGGGGAGGCAACAAATTGGCAGTAATTTATTGATATCATGTAATCAGACGAGTTTTGTTACACGCGAGCATGGATGGGAACAGCGTGTTGGCGAAACTACAGAGGCACTTCTAGTAGCTCCTTATCAATTGTATTTCTAATAGGTAAGTACTTATAGACCACGTTTCCATGGGCATCACTGATCCGGATCAGTGAAAATGGATTAGCTAATCCAGTATAGACAATAGGTATGTGAAAATGAAAATAAGGGATTAACTGGTTATATAAGCCTAATCCACTTTGAATTATATCGTGTAACGAAGAGTTCGAGAAATAATATACGATTTAATAAACGGCTCCGTTGGAAAGAAAAACAGATATTGCTGAATGGCGAATGCAATGTCCGTCTGGAATTTCCGAAATTGAGCAATTGGTGTCCAAGACCTATTATTGTCTATGCTTTCTTTACATTAGGCTTACCTCAGGCAAAGCTGACTGTATAGGTAGGTACGATTATTTGCTTGACAAATTTGATGACTAAGCCCATTGCCGTTAGTTGGCTTATCTTACATACAAATAAGCAAACTTGTGCAGAAGTATAGATCAGCCCAATTGACCATGGCTGGGTGATTTGCCAATCCGTTGTATACAATTGCCATCTGATAAAGTGTTGAACAAACACTCCCCGTCGGTCGTCGGGCTATTAGCGGCTGCTCCAGTTTAAATTGCGCCCGTGCCGTTCGAGCCGTAACTGTGCACTGTCGTTCTGAGGCCGGTGGTCACCGGCAGCCCCTCTGGGCACCTCATTGGAGCGCGGCCGTATGCGCTCGTGCCCTGCCCGGCTTGTATCGGCTGAACGAACATGGCACGCCTGTCAATCGGCATCTCCATTCTGTGCGGCCTGGGCCGGGCGGCCGGCGACCGATGGCCGCGATACTGGGCCTGCCATCCATCAACGGACGACCGCTCAAGTCCGTATCAATTTCGCCGTACAACCGGCCACGAGACGGGAGGCACTTCCGCGAGCCGCCGCCGCGCGCGGACCGGCCCGGCGCCAGAGGAGCCCCAGGTACCGGCGCAATGGGAATCGCATTCAGAGCGGACCAAACACGGCAGGCTAGGGAATGCCTGATGCGAGATTCAGTTCCTGTTCAACAGCGACCGACACAAATCATCGCCGGCTGACGTTGACCAATTACCACTCAAATGTGATGCAACACGGGACGAATCTGCTTTTGCAGGGCAACGCTGACCATGTCCCTGTCTTCTCGCTGAGGGCATTGGGAATGATGCAACACAGGTTGCTTACTTTATGAAAAGTGAGATTTCACGACAGGGATGGGGCAAACTGGCCACGAGAGTGAAGGATCGCCTCGGAAATTAAAACAATCGTGAGAAGTACCTACAATATTGCAAAATTTTCAATATCCAATCATGATGAATTTACCTGAAAGAAACACCATAGTAGGTAATAAGTTTCATTACTGTCTTTGATCATAGGCGGCGGGACGGGGAGGGCACCAGGTCACCGTGACCCCCTTTGATTTTGGCACTTTAACGTTAGCCCTATCCTATGGGCGTTGCATGGAAAGAATGGGACCAAAAGTCGGCAGTGCCCCCCGTTAATTGAAGGTGTTCCGCCGCTACTGTCTTTGATGTTCGTTTCCAGTTGGTATCTATTCGCTCAGTATTTTAGAAGCTGTCTGCAAAGATGGCTGAAGGTGGAATGACCTACGAGCATTGTGGATGACTAAACGAGTGCGTGGATTGCAATCGTTTCCGGCATCTATCTCTTCATCTCCCATTCAGGAATTCAGACTCACATGCCTCTAACGATTTCCACTCAGTACCTAGCTCTTGCGAGCCCATTCCCAAACGATACGATTATGACCTCTGCACTGAGCAGACGAGCACGGCCTTAGCCTGAACATCCAATTACGATCACCAATTAGCTTGCCGTTCGGGAAAGGTAGCACGCTCCCGTTACTACCGAAACTCTCCGACCAATCAGAGTGCGTTCTCCGCCTGCCGTCAGCCAATGAGCGTGCGCGACAGCGGCCGGTCGGAGCGGCGCGCTGTTCCCATGTCTAGCGCCGTGCTCTGCAGCAGTATACAGCGGTGATCGTACGGGAGGTCTGCAGTTGGTACGGCCGCGGGCGCTGGTCCACGCTGGTTCAGCTGTGCACGCTGACGGGGACTGGAGCTGACAGTGGACGGCGGACTGACAAGAGATCTGTAGAGACCCGGGAGCTTGATGTGGCTGGTTTGTGAGGTACCTACTGTCAACCAGCTGGCTGACCGTCTTATCGTGATAATTAGGGAACGTGAACGATGATGACCATACGGTGAAGTGCCAAAGGCCTGGACGGTGACAGGGAAAGAAAGTGAACTTACAGAAAGAGGATTTGAAACGGCCGAGGAATGCCACCCCTCTAAAGTTTCCACCAGGGAGGGATCTGCGTCAGCAAAGCGTACGGGGTTGCCGAAAGGACCCAGTGTCCGAGACGGCAGGGTGGCTGTGCCTATCCTTTCCGCTGAAGTCGACTGTTTGCTGTCGTCTGACAGGACAGGAGACTGCCATCTGAACAAAGATAACAGATTTTGCCTCTGCATGAGTGGTCAGAGTGAGCCGCTGTGAGTGACGGAGCTCGCCGCTGTGAGTGCCGAGTGGACCCGTCGGACCCGGGTGCCGCCGCCCCTCAGCACAGGATGCCACCACGGCTCGCCGGCTGCCTACTGCTGCTGGAGCTGCTGCTGCTGGCGGTGGCCAGCTCAGTCGCCGCCAGAACGGGCTCCTGGATGTAAGTACCCCAGGGTGACGCCTGGCTAGCTACCAACGCTGTCCTAGCTCTGATCATAAGAGCACACTGATCAGCAATCATTTCCGCTTCTGTGAGTCATTTGAGATAATAGAAAACATAAATCTGGCCCCATGCAGAAAAGGGTTCTTTCTGGCATTCCGGTTTGATGCCATGGATATTCGCCGAATCCGAATGGCCGTGTACCGTAGCCTGTGTAAGTTTTTTTTTTACCTGACCTGTAAGTGACCTGAGGTCATCGCGTGCCCTTAAGTAGTAGTGGGAACGAAGCTTCAGTTCCTGGCGACTCCTTTGGTTCCATTTTCAACGCTCTAGCCCCGCTAGGTGGGTCACATTGCTCGAGGTCGTGACCTTTGTTGACATCTGTAGGTCAAACGATTGTGAGTGACGCCGAATGCTTTGGGCGACATGTTCCACTCCGAAAGGACTCTGTTGTGCGTGAGTTTCAAGTGGATCAAAGGCAGTCCGTATCTGGGCTAAATCTGGTCTGACTTTGGGCCGAATATGGTTGCCTTGACGAGCACCTTTGCAAGGCGGCACGGAAATGACAAACCTTCTAGCCTTTAAAAGCAAAAATATTAAATGCTACTTCACATTCACTTATTTAGCCTATGCCGAGCAGCGTAAGGTCGCATCCACTCCCCATTGTACCCAAGATTTAAAAATGATGAAACAAAATAGAAAGCTGCTGTCGTTTTCTATGTAGGTACTAGTGAATATGAATAACGAATAGTTGTTTGATGCCCCGATGTCGCGATGTTCTGATGTGTAAGTAAGAACAAGCGGTGCTTGCTCTTTGTGAGACAAATGACAGTTTCTTATCAGATAGTCTGTCTATTTGAATATTCATTGAAATATCTGCCTCAGCTCTGGCTTCTATATAATTGCATCAGCATGCGCCCAAAAAAGGTTCGAGCAATGTTCATGTCAACTTCACTTACATTCCAGGGATCACTCCTATCAAATTAAAATGCCTCGAGAGGATCAAGCCTCGCTTCTGGTATGTGCCCGGTTCC